TGCAAATATCCCGGTTGCAAAGTAAAACGTCCTTATCTCAAATGACGCGTAGAACTTTTCCTAAATAAATGTAATAATTATTATTGTTTTAGATCTTTTCATCAATAAAAAATAACAAATTTATGATAAAATTCATATGATTATATCAAAATCAAAAAAAATCAAAAATATTTATTCAGTTTAGACCACAAGTGGCACTTATGAACGTCAATAGAAAATAATAAAAAAAAGAAAAAGGTAGCCCTTATGGGGCACTTTACATGTCTCCTTATCTTTTGGGCCCTACCAGCGCTTCGAGACAAACATATGGCAAGTGCTGAGAAGAAACGCCGGAACAAACTCAGTCACCACTTATATTTATTATAAATTGCAATATATAAAAAAGTTAAATAGATAATAGTTATTTCATTTTATTAAGAATAATAATTTTAATTATTAATACCAAAAATTATAGTTAAGGCTCAGGGTACCGTATGTGGAACTAAAATAAAAAATTGATTTTTCAGTAAAATATGATTTTATTTTTATTTTTATAAGTTTTTCCTATCTTCTCATCACTAATTACAACCAATATATTTTTGTCGCGCACTAAAAAAAAATTGAGCCTTGTAGGGTTAACAGCATTGTTGTGTTCCGGCAGTTAGAGGTAAGATAGCCAGTTCCTCCGTGGTTGAGGATTCCGGGTGATGCTCGCTTCCACCTTCGGCCTGATCATCACTTACCATCAGGTGAGATACAGGCCAAGAGCTTCCTCGTTGTGGATAAAAAAAACTTCTGGACAAAGACCTCCCCCAAGGATTTCTACAACGATCTGTCCTGTAAAACATCAACATCAGGTAATTTAGTCTCAATTGCAGGACGATTTAAAATAACCAGAGCCAATAAAAAATAGTCCATTAGTCAATTCCAGTCAGTGCAGTGACATCTTGTTATTAAAGCCCACTAAAGTCGCCGCTCGCGCTGTCTGCGAGCTTAAAAATCTTTTAACTACGCAACGAATTTTTCACTAGTGGCAGTTGCTGTTTTTATTTAATATCTTGTTACCACTTTCTAAAAGAAATGTTTTTGATTTGATATGATAATAATACGGTTTTCAGCAATAGGTCTGATTCAAGAGGACGGGTCGCCAGTTTAACACAAAGAAGAAGGAAAGAAAGATCTTATATCAAAATCGACGACTGACTTTTGCCGGTGGCTTGGCCTGGGTGAATTTCGGTTTGATTGACACAAGAAGCCTGCATAAAAAAAATACTTAACCATACGTTTTCCTTGCCACTTCAGCTTGCTAATCCAAACTTGATAATAGGGCTATGTCAGCGACTTTAGTTCGTTTACGCATCTCCTCAAGAAACACCGAGCATAGCCCTCTCCATAGTACGCTGTGCAATTGTGATCTTCTTTAAAAGGCCTATAGTATACAGAAGTTGCCGTAATGAAAACTTAAGTCGAGTGTTAGTGATGTTTAACCAATGTCAGTAACCAGTGGCGGCGTAAGGCGTAGGCGACGTGGGCCACCGCCTACGGCCTCGCGGTACAAGAGGCCTCGCGCATCAAAAATTTTGAAAAAATGTATACAAGGTGGAGATGACAATATCACAATACGACAATAAGTGCAAACATTGACTATTAAATATAAATTCTTGATAGCTAAACAATGTAGTTAAAAATAAAAATATATTTTTTTCCAAACAAATTCAGCCATAATCAGACTCAAAATTAAGCAACAACACGGTTTTAAGTGACGAACATTATTCTTTGGCGCAATATTCCTTTAAAAATAATCACTAAATCAAGAAATCAGAAACTGTCAATGAATAGACCATTGACCCGTTTTTTTTAATTATTTCATAAAATCCGTCTTCAGGTCGCCACAGAACAAGGCCTCGCGAAATCTGTCTTGCCTACATCAAATTTAGGTCTTGCCCCGCCACTGTCAGTAACATCCAGATCACCTAGTCTCCACTGCAGGAGAACGACCCTCTCTAATTTGCTATAGGCAAGTGGAGGATTTGGCCTGCACTCCCCGCGCTGGCCAGACGGGTTGGGAAAGGCTGATTTTCGCATGCATATTATTGTTCCAAGTCACCTTTACGACATCCACAGGAAGTGTGGTATTCCAAACTGGGAACAATTAGGTACTGGGATTAATCTATTAATTGAAAAAGAGACTGACAAAGGTGACTAAGTTTCTTCCGCCACTTCTTTTCAGCACCAGCCTAACGACTCGAAGTGGTAGGGCAAGCTATATTTGAGACGTGTTTAAGTGCCCTGGAAAGGACCTAAGTAGGAACCTACTGAATAAATATTTTGATTTGATTTGATTTATCCTCTTAAACTTTTGCGTTTTTAATAAATAAGTAGGCCTACGTCATGACAGATCACCATCCTCCTTTCTTTTAAAAAAGAAAAGAGCTTTTTTTAGATTTCAGCCTGTATTAAGGTATGAGTGACTAACGTATTTATTATAACTATTTGCCTGATTGTTAACATTATAGTACGAGTAATTACTTCTTAAAACAAACAAATAAAATTGGCCAAGAAAAATAAAACGGCAATTATTTTTAAAAGTGGAACAATGCTAAAACAAAGCGTACCAACTGTAAGAACAAATACGCTACTAATTCTATGGCTTACAAAAATAAATAACGCTCGCAGGTTTGTACCAACCGTTGTTGTTTGGGAAACGTTATCTACGTAGGTACATACATTTTCTTCCAAGATATAAGTAGGAATACCGTAAATTTCAGATATGAAGAGAACAAGGAACCTGACCAAAAAGTACACTTACCTTTTTTAAAATCCCAAATTCAAAAACATCACGCACGTCACTACAACACTAGAATTCAAACAAACACTTCGATTTGATAACAACAAATTAGTTTTCATCAACATCGCGGTATTCTCACGCATATTTCTCGGCTAAACGACATTTTGTGCGTCGAACATCCTCATATAGTGTTTTCCTTGTCAAAACACATGTATTCCGGAGATTTTTCGGGCGAATATACGCGACACGACCGCTCGTTCCCGCCCACAGGCTCAACTGACTGAAGACTGAACCCAGTGTTGCTTTTCAGTAAATCTATAAGAGAAAATACACAATCATGCCGTCCTTTATTTCGCAAGCATGCGATACGCCCGTCTCTCTCAATGGCTGACGTGTAGAGCGCTCTCATTTTGCGTGGAACGGAACGTGGTTTTCCCGTGACAGATAATAGATTTCGCGCGCTATTTTGACTTGCTAAGAAGTGGTAAGGATACTTACGCGACTATTCCCACCTCTCAGTCCCACCGCTGCAACTCCTGTGTAGCCAGGATGCGAATAAAAACCCAACCAGTGAAGGTCAAGTTTATCCCGGGGGAAAGTTAACTGTCATTGGACCCGCAACGGTGGTAAGGAGGCCTCTTTTTTTTTACCCGTGATGCGGATTTCGTCACGCGTGCGTGTGAATCACACTCCTGTTTGAATGTTGTAGTACTAGCGACCTGCCCCGACTTCGCACGGGTGCTAAGTATACATGAAAGACTTCCTCTTAAATAACATTATAAAGTGACGCAGGTCTCTACTTAGTCGTTAATATACTGAGTGGAATTTTGTAATGACACCTAAAGGGAAAGTAGGTACCTACTCTTAATAGGTTAGTACTTACTGTAGAAGGAAAATTTCACTCAAAGAGAACATTCCTTTATTTTTGAAAAGAAAGAGAACTGCATTCAAAGATTTCCGAAAATTCGCTTGCCACATACGGGCCCCAACAAAATTATGATACAGGGCCTAGGGATGCCATTCGTCTGGGTTCCCCGGATTTGTCATAGGTCATAGGTCGTCCGGGGTGGGTCTGGGTGGGGTTTCGTTTGGAGTCCGGGTTCAAACATTTAACTTTTAGGTTGATGACGGGCGACGCGACAGTTTTAAAAAACTGGTTGATGTGTCCTGGTTCTGGGCTCCAAAATCCGGGGTTTTCATGAGTCTTATCCTGGTTTTCAAATTTTAGAGATGGCAAGGCAACTCTAACAGGTCCCGTCTAATGCACGCGGACGCTATGACTCTACATATGCCGCGGAGCTGCAAATATGTCCAAGCTAGGACGGAGCTGCGGACGAATGTCAGAGCTAGGACAATAACTCGCGGCTTCGTTTCTTTGGGCTCTAGTGGACATCGGGTTTTATTGGGTAAGTCACGCATTTAGTGAGCAGGCGGGGAAAGTCCCATATAACCCACTGTCCCCATCGACCAATGGGTATGCGCAAAGCATTTCCCGACGGTAAAAAGGCACCGAAAGAAGAAGAAATGCCGAAGCGCCTACCGCATCAGCGGTCATCAGTTGCCGCCACTGTCTTAGTCACATCTTCACAATAAAATATCTCTAAAAAGGTAAATCTATTCTAATATTATAAATGCGAAAGTAACTCTGTCTGTCTGTCTGTCTTGCTTTCACGCCTAAACCAAACATATTTTGATGAAAGGCATAAAGATAGTTTGAGTCCCGGTAAAGGACATAGGATAGTTTTTGTCCCGGTTTTTGTAACAGGGACGCGCGCGATAAAGTTTTTCTGTGACAGACAAAATTCCACGCGGGCGAAGCCGCGGGTGGAAAGCTAGCATATAAATAAAGATATAATTATGATGACTATCTCTTTCCGACTTGATAAGCGCGCGCAACGCTACATCAGTAAATTCTTCACGTTCACATGTGCTGACAGACAAAATACATTCATAGTCCTGGAGACAGCATTTAATGCATTGCCTGAAAAGATTGCTTTTTGAATGAATTAAATATTTTCTTGGGACATTTTTTGAAATTGCGTCATCTGTGATATGATAACGGATGTAATAATATACTTAAGTAAACATTGGTTATTTTTTTAAAGAAAAAGAAAAAATATTTATTCGATGCAAGTACTTTTTTTTGTAAATAATAGTCCCATGTACAACTTGAATACATGGCAATAGGATCATAGAAACAATACAATTATTCGTCAAATAGTAAATTCCAATAATAAATTAGTTGGCGCCACTGAGAGACGTAAGTTATTTTAACTTACATTTGCAATTGCACTCACAAGGAAAGCGCCACTGTAGAGTTAGGTCCTGTCACTCGGCAGTGTTGCTAGTTGCAAGCATGATGATAAGTAGCCCACATGGATCAAAATTGTAAATGTCTATCTCCTAGACTATGCGCTTACGTCACTTCAACCGGTCTGCGGCCATTTTGCGAATCGATAAGCGGATAAATATGGAACTACACTTTTTGCAAGCAAATGTGCGATTGCAGCGCTGTTCCCGCCAATTTTGACGTTTGTCGGTCAGTCATTCGGTATTTACTCGGTCAGTGACTCAGTGTGTCAGTCCACAAAACAAAATTTGTAGTGGTTCAGTGTTAGATCTACGAGCTTCAGAAGTTTGATTTTCGGGTTCTGATAATAAGGTACATATTATAATTTCTATTAAATTAATCTAATCAGCAAATGTGGGAGTAATAAAAGTGATAGAAAGTGTGCAGATGATGCAACTTTTGCTCTGCAAGATAAAGTGGTATTGGGTGTAGTTTTGCCAGCGCTTTTGCATTTCATGGCGGGAAAGTGAACTGTTATGTTAATTTGTTTGTTAAGATAAGGATAAGATAAGATTATTTATTTGCACAGAAACATGGTACAGTACATACAGGTGTCAGTGGAAACAGTAAATCAGGTTCAACATGTTTCGTCTTGTCAAGACATGCAAAAATTTGAAGAAGTCAATTTTAAGTAATTATCTAATTATTTTTAACAAATCATCTATTTTAGAATTATAAATAACTAGCTTTCCGCCCGCGGCTTCGCCCGCGTGGAATTTTGTCTGTCACAGAAAAACTTTATCGCGCGCGTCCCTGTTTCAAAAACCGGGATAAAAACTATCCTATGTTCTTTCCCGGGACTCAAACTATCTCTATGCCAAATTTCATCAAAATCGGTTGCGAGGTTTAAGCGGGAAAGCGTAACAGACAGACAGACAGACAGACAGAGTTACTTTCGCATTTATAATATTAGTTGGGATTAATTAATTCATTAAGTTACATATTAATTAAAAAAGTCAGCAGTAAAAATGTCAGTGCCGTAGTGTTCGTGAATGTAATCAGTGTAGGCAAATGAAATAAAAATAAAACAGGGAAATTACACCTCAAGTGCTCTCAAGAAGTGCGTGACGTCTTGTCAACAATATCACAGATAATACAACCTATATGTAACCTTTGTATTGTGAATTTTTTTTCGTCGAGCGGCTATTTTGGTTCTATGAAATCCTAGTATCACTGCGACTAGTACCGATCTATTGCTATTTTCTTACAGTTCGCCTCCGAGTCCTGCATCCATTAGGTAGTGCATGTATCTTTTGGGGGGCGATATGTTTTACATCTTGTGGGCTTAGGATGTGTTTGCCCAAGTGTAAGCTCCGCTTGCGCATCAAAGGTCCGCAGTCCGTGAGAATGTGTAGTGGCGTTTCATCTGCCTCTTGGCACATCCTGCACGTTCTTGTTTCGGACAGTCCCAGTGCTTGTTTAAGCTGCAGTGATCCAGTGTGAACTCGAACTAAGATGCGCATTTTGATCCTACCCACTCCTGTAATCTGCTTAGAGCATTTTCAGTCGTAGTGAAATCTTTACTCTTCATCATCATTTCAGCCATAGGACGTCCACTGCTGAATATAGACCTCCCCCAATAGTTTCCATAAAGGTCGGTTGGTAGCGGCCTGCTTACCTTTATGAGGTCGTCGGTCCACCTTGTGGGCACGTAGATTAAGGTTAATTTATTATTAACTAGCTTTCCGCCCGCGGCTTCGCTCGCGTAAAATTTAGTGTCACAGATCGGCATAAATATTATAGTTGTTAATCTAGGTAATAAACAGTAATACTGTAAAGTTTCAACAAAATCCGTTTAGTAGTTTTTGCGTGAAAGAGTAATAATCATCCAGATATTGATTAACAACCTTGACACGTAATGATTATTATGAATTTTGTATTCGTGTTATTTTAACTCGTGTATCTTTAGTAAATATCATATTTCCTACATTGATATTTTGACGTCAATTACAAAAAAAATCTAAACTGTCTAATTTTCTACCATTTCAGGATTGGCAGCGAAGATGTCTGGCCGTAGCACAGCTGGTCTTTCAACCAGCAGTGGTGTGAAGAGACGGTCCAATAACGAAGACAAACAAGTTTCCAAGGTTTCCAAAACATCTGCTGATAGAAGTAACTCTGTTGAGTATGTAGTAAACATGGATCTAGCAGCAACTGCCTTTAAAGGCCAAACTTCCACTTACAGAATCACAGTGGAATCGGCTGACGGAGAAGTTATACTGAACGACCCTCAAGTCATCCTCAATCAAGCTCTAACAAAAGCTAAAGAAGAAATCATCGCAAAGATCGATGAATTAAGCCTTGTAAAAATTATAGTCAATTTGCACGGCTGCTTCATTGACAACCAATATAACGCATTTGATATTAATGGAAGCGTTGATGTATTCGATGAAGAAACGGTCGATGATCAAATTGATGAACTCAAGATGTTGATCACCTCAAAATTTAATGTTTTTGACCGAGATAATGAGGGCGACAAACAATTATTGTACATCGACCTTCATATAAATAAGCACGTCGTCCCGGATTTTAAACTGGATGTCCCTTGGCATCTAAAACGCTACATAGTGAATGTTATGAGTGAAGACTATCCGGAACAGAGTTTTAAATGGGCAGTATTAGCAGCGCTACACAGGGAAATACACAATCCACAAGATTACCTCCTCGAAGAATTTTCGGAGGACATTATTTTGACAAATATTCAACACCCAGTCAAACTACACGACATACCGAAGATAGAAGAAATGAATGACATGAGCTTTAATGTGTATATCTTGAACTATAATTTTAATCCCAATAAGAGAGAAGAAATCGAAGGACCTGTGTATCACACAGCTCGTCGACGCAATAAACATTTCAATTTACTGCTTCTTCATGGTGGAGCTAGCGATTGCTATTGTTTGATAAGCGACCTAAAGGGCTTAGTGGTAGATACAAATAATTTGCCAAATAGTTATGGCGATAAATTATGTGATGGTTGCTTAAATATTTTCAAAAAAGAATCTCTAATGCAACATCAACAAGACGAATGTTTGGGAAAGAAAACAGTTTTAGCATCACACGATGCAAAACATATGAAATATATTCGTAAAAAAAGTGACTTCGAGAAAATGCCTTTCGTAGTCTACGCTGATTTTGAAGCGTATTTGGAACCTGTGTCGAATTCAACAAATATGAATAAGAAGCAAAACAAAGAAACATACACAATAAATGTAAACAAGCACGTCCCTTACAGCTTTGCCTATTATATCAAATGTGCTTTTGATGATCAATTGTCAACTTTGAAATCTTATGATGGAAAAGATTGTGCTGAACAATTTTTTAAAATGTTACGCGAGGACTTAGCTGACATACGCCGAAAAACTGATAAATTCTCATCAGTGATACCAGTATTTTTCCACAACTTTTCAAATTACGACGGCCATTTCATCTGTCGCGTATTGGATGCTGAAAACGGTGAAATGTCATGTCTTGGTTCTAAACACAATTTTGTAGCGATGCACAAAAAACTTACTATAGGTCAAAACAAAGTTGAATTACGTTTTCTGGACTCGAGGAAATTTTTGCAAGGGTCAATTGCAAAACTATTGAAAAAAATTAATCGTGAATTATTTTTCGAAAGCTGTGCTTATTGGGAAGATAGCGAAAAATTTGAACTGATGACCCAAAAAGGTGTATTTCCATATGAATATATCAAGTCAATCGAGCAATTGGAAGAGACGTCCCTACCGCCAATAGAACAATTCTATAGCAGCGTTAACGATGCACACATAGAAGAGAGTGATTACCAACGCGCCCTCGAAGTCTGGGATATATTTGAATGTGAAACGATTGGTGATTATTCAAGATTATACTTACAATCTGACGCTTTGATTCTAGCTGATTTGTTTGAAAATTTGAGAAACACATGCATAGAAGCCTATAATTTAGACCCAGCGAATTATTATGCTATTTCTGGTTTAAGTTGGGATGCGATGTTGATGAAGACCGGTGTAGAGTTGGAGCTTTTGACTGATGTTGAAATGGTGACGTTCATGAGCAAGCTTCGGAGAGGCGGTATCGCTCACTGCACTAGAAGACACGCGGTCGCTAACAACAAATATCTACCTGATTACGACGAATGGGAAAGAGATAACTTTATAATGTATTACGACGCCAACAATTTGTACGGCTGGGCAATGTCCCAGCCTTTGCCGTATGGAGGCTTCAAATGGGTCAAAGATTGCACTGTAAAATGGGTCAAAAGTAAAGTATTGACTTTACCAGTTGACTCTAATGTGGGTTATTTCCTAGAAGTAGATCTTAAATACCCCAAAGAGTTGCACGACAGTCACGCTGACTTCCCATTCTGCCCAGAAAAAAAGAAAGTGCCTGACTGCGACGACGATAGACTGGTCACGGATTTGACTTCCAAGACGCGTTATACTTTGCATCACTCGTACCTAATTCAGTGCCTCAAGAACGGACTTAAGTTAGAAAGAGTCCATCGCGTGCTGAAATTTAAGCAACGTCCCTGGCTAAAGCCGTACATTGATTTCAATGCTAAAAAGAGAGAGGCTGCAACTTGCGAATTGAAAGAAGATTTTTACAAGCTCATGAATAATAGCATAGCCGGAAAATCTATGCAGAATGATGAGAATTATTTCAATTTGAAAATAATTGATCAGTGGTTTCATCAATGGAAGAATCTAAGTGGACACAGCTTAGTGGGAGGCGCCAACTATCATAGCCATGCGGTGATTAATGATAAACTCATGATGATACAATTGAACAAAACAAAAAGAGAGTTCAAAAATCCCATTTACATTGGCTTCAGCGTCTACGACTTATCCAAGGCGTACATGTACGATTTTCATTACAATTTCATGAAACCAAAGTACGGAGACAAATTGAAACTTCTGTATACCGACACAGACTCTTTTATATACCAAATATATACCAAGGATTATTATTCTGAAATAAGACCATATTTGGCTGAGCGTTTCGATACTTCGAACTACCCAGTAGACAATGCTTTATATTCGCAAGAAAATAAAAAGAAATTGGGATTTTTCAAAGATGAATTAAAGGGGGATGTGGTGAAGGAATTCGTTGCTCTGCGACCTAAAGTTTACATGATACAATCGAAGAACGATTTCAAGAGGAAAGCAGCTGGTGTACCAGAAGCGTTTAGTAAGAAATTTACGATGGAAGATTACAAAAAGTGTCTGCGTGAGCAAAAAAAGGATTATAGAGAGATGTTCAGAATACAGCCGGTTGGGTACGACATTTACACTCAGAAGGTCAGAAAAGTGGCTTTGAGTCCGGCGTATTTTAACAGGCAATTATTAAAGGATGGGATAAATTCATTGCCATTCGGCCATTACAGTTTGATGGAGAATCCTAACCTAACTTTCTAAATATGTATAACTCAAATGTGACTGACATGACTGACTGGCATAGTGATCTATCAACGCACAGTCAAACCACTGGACGAATCGGACTGAAATTTGGCATGCAGGTAGATATTATGACGTAGGCATCCGCTAAGAAAGGATTTTACGAAACTCCACCCCTAAGGGGGTAAAACGGGATCCACGCGTACGAAGTGTCGGGCTGCCGCTAGTCTACTATAAGACCAATAAGACGTTTAGGCACAGGACTATTCCCAGCTCTCGTTCCCACCGCTGGAACTCCTGTGTAGCGAGGATCTACAGCTTGACCGCCAATAAAAGCCCAACCAGTGAACGCCAAGTCTGTCCCGAGGGAAAGTTAAGTTGTCATTGGACCCGCAACGAATGTAATCAGAAGAACATTACTTTAAATTTTTCATACATTTCTACATAACTTGTTAAAATTTTTTCGGTGATAAAAATGTAGTGGTGTATAGTTGAACGATAATGGCGCCTCCCTGTCAATGTCACGGATGGGACAGTTCAGTGTAGGTCATCTTTACCTACTGTCACCCTTACACCTATGATTCACAATAAAGATTTTTGTATTTGTAATATTTAATCATAATTTTTTGTACACCCTGAAGTAATATGTGATATCGCCCTCGACTTGTTTTTCACTAGATACGTCTTCCTCATCCATCAACTGGTAGTTTTCTTTGTCTATGCTCGGGAAGAATGTGTCACATTTGTATGTTTTTTGTATTTCTGTCAGATATATCTTTCCGCAGCATGGGTGGTCCATCGCAGCCTGAAAATTAAAGTTTATACCTATTAATTAATTAATTTAATTGCTATTGCAATGCCCTTGCAGAGCCCATAATTATGTTTACCTTAGCTATTTTATAAGACCTTACTGTGTGCCTACCATGAGTTTACGTTAGGTGAGCTCGCTAGCGAATACGTCAAAAAATTCTATGAAGATTTTATTTCTTGAAAGTAGCCGCTAGGGGCGCTGCACAATATGTCATACATTTAAATGTCATTTTTTTACGCAGTCGCTAGCGAGCACACCTAACGTAAACTCATGGTAGGCACACTGTACATACATAACATACATTGTGATGCAATAAATATTGAATATGAATAAATGAAATAAAATAATTTGTTTCCTTGAACACGTTTGACTCCGATTTGAAAATGTTTCTGTTGGATAGCCCATTTATCGAGGAAGGCTTTAGGCTATAACATCACCCTATAGCCAGTATAGAAAAATGTTGCGGAAACGGGAAATATTATTTGAAAACTTTTTTTTTTCGTAAATGACGCCACCAGAGGCTTAGTTTTCAAACTTTTTTTATTTTATTTATGACTTGATAACGTTTGCACATTTAGCCAACCAGTGTCAAGCCAAGTGAATGTCAATTCATGAAACCTGTTTATTTCACTTAGTCGGTCCGCCCCGGGTGCCAAGCATCAGGGGGTGACACAAGTCACGCAGATTGGTACTCTGTGGCACATCTGCATGGCAAATCTGCGGTCTATGCCATTTAATACCTAATAATAAGTTAGATGGCTGTTGGGGCAGGAAAGTACTCGAGTGGCGACCACGGGCTGGAAGACGTAGCGTGGGCAGACCTCCTACTAGGTGGACCGACGATCTGGTAAAGGGCGGGAAGAGCCTGGATGCGGACAGCGCAGGACCGTTCATTGTGAAAAACCATGGGGGAGGCCTTTGTCCAGCAGTGGACGTCATTTGGCTGAAACGAACAAATAAGTTAGAATTTACATTATTTACCTTGTATATAGAAGAGCCTCCAATGACCCATGTCGATTCAATATCGTCTCTATTTTCAATGTATTTTACTGCCTCATCCAACCCGGGCATCACTACTACACCTTCGGGAACCTGTAAAAGAATAGTATACCATTATAACATTGGTTCCCAAAGTGGGGGGGGCGCAAAGACCTTTAAAAGGGGTCGCGGGCCATCTGTGTACAGTATAAAAAACCTTCGACCGCTGAGAGAATGCAGTCCAGACTGCTCGATACGACCAATAAATAAATCTTGACTGGAGGAAGGGGGGCACGGAATTTTTTGTAGGCTCAAAAGGGGGCGCGTCTCAAATAAGTTTGGGAACCAATGCGTTAGTAATTATTTCAGCTACAAGACGTCCACTGCTGAACATAGGCCTCCCCCAATGAGTTCCATAGTGACCAGTTGGTAGCGGCCTGCATAAAACGCCCTCCTGCTATGTTTATGAGGTTCACTTTGTGCCCAGGACATAAGGTCTCTGGAACTTTGTTTGGATTTTATGTTTTTTTTTATTTTAAGACTTTTTTACTAAAGATATTGTTATTTACATTTCTATAATAAAGAAATACAAAATAATACACACCTCTGCCTTTATTTTGTCTACGTGGTGAGTGAGAACAATATTGACACGACCACTCAACGGACGATACTTCAAGGGGATGCAGTCCCACGTAGTACGGCCCATAATTACTGCATTCGTCTTCTGTGGATCGTTAACTTTAGACGTCATCGTTGTAAAGTATGCCATTTCTTTTCTGTAATAAGAAAATAAAGGTTATAGTTTGTTGGATATGTGGGTAGTTTAAAATGTCTTTGTGTATACTGTACAAAAGTTGCCAAGTTTTTGTTTATTTATTTAAAAAAAAAAAGGTAGCTAGAGGAAAAAAGATACTTTTTTATGCAATATTACAGCTTCTGTAGGCACGATCTATGTACAAAAATACTCGCTTTCGAGTATTAAAATGTTGGCATAGACAAAACTTTAGGTAAATGATAAATTGGAAATAGGGTGACATAATAAAATTAGAGGGAAAAAGTTACGGTAACACCGGTTATAACCTCAAAATGCACATTGTAAAGGTTTATTTGGAGGTATGGATATAAAACTTACTTCAATCTCCATGGTAGAGTGCCATTTACGCCTATTCCCATGTTATCGCACGCTGCAGCAATGAGATTCAACTTGATTTTAGACATGTTGAATACACGTCCGATTATATTTGTCAAATAAATCTATTCACTCAATTAAGTTAGACAAAACTGAACTTAGGTATTTAGATAATATTATCAGTTAGACACTGGTTGGTATAGACATGTAAAAAAAGACGATAATCACACAAAAAACAAAACAATAATAACATCAAATCAAAACAACGTCAATCAATTGTCAACTGACTAGTGCTGCTACCATTACATATTTTAAGAATTTTAACGATGCCATGTATCGATAATTTTACCTGATTAGGAAGTATCGTTTGAGGTAATTTCTTTATAATGTTTCGATTCGGATTATAAAATGACCAATATCATTATAGCCTCAATCAATACAAACTTACATCAGCGAAAAGTCCTCTATAGTTTTTTTTATATTTTCAATAAAAATATCACAATAATCAGGCATACAGGCGGAACGGCAGATTATGAGGTTTTACTATCAGGCAATGATTCGGTTTAAATTATATGGTTTGAAAATTAATTAATTCGCAATTTAGCGACAGCGATTCTTCAACAGTTTTTTTTAATTTGGAGGTTCTAATCTAATTATAATCATTGGGTTTGAAATTATAAATAACTTAGCATTATTTTTGCAATGCTTAGTGGCATTATAGCAGTAGGGAGAAAAGGTTAAGGAAAAAATGCATGAGTAATATCAAAAATCTTCGCTTCTATTTACCAATCAGCACGTAATAACAAGTCATGAGTGAAAATTTAGGCATCGATATTATTCTGATACAGGAGCCCTAATCGATATCCGCACATCCCTAATCTCATCTGTGGAGCCAGATTTTATTTTTATATTTTTTTAATTTTGAAGTCTTTTGGCGGGAGAGTGAAACGTCTTCTTCTTCTTTTTTTTTGATGATGTTGGCAATACACGTCGAGTCGAGGTTGACTTGATTTGTGCCATTTTCAAGTATACAGGGTGGAAACGATAAGTAATCTCACTCGATTATTTCTAAACTATACAAGATATTCAAAAATTGGTTACTGTTATAATTAATGAAGGATGATAGATGATACCCCTTCCCACCCTTTGAGTCTCAGTAAAGTTATGTATGGACAACTTGAGAGAACCAGAAGAATCACGATGCACTGTTTTGCTTCACTTGCCCACACTCATGCACGTTCACGAACACTTTAATGGTTAATAATCCACTATTATTACACACTAGCTGACCCGGCGAACTTCTTACCGCCTTAGCGTAGAGATTTTCTTAATATTTTTTTCCGTAAGAACCATCCTTGGACTTCCACAAACATAAAAAAAAAAGAATTATCGAAATCGGTTCAGCCGTTCACACGTGATGCCGTGACAACGCGAAACGGGTTTCATTTTTATATATATAGATTAATAGTCGCCCCGACACGAATTTGAGGAAATAAAACAAAACCGCTAACATGACGCTTCAGATTCCCGCCGAGAAGTCAGAGTGAAATTGTGTATGAAGTTTATGTTTACCTACTAGTGTAGAAAAATGAAACAAGACCAAAGCTAAAGACGCTGCGTCTGTGACGCTTAGTTCGAAAGGCTACCTTATACAGTGCAACATTGGTTTTTGAGTTCTCTCAAGCAAGACCATAATTTTAAGTTTCAGTAAAGCGCCACATCTTAACACAGGGGAAGGGGAGGGATAATATCATGTCATCATTTGTTTTCAGGGTCACTCTCTCCTTTTGGCGCAGTTGGGTAAAAACTAAAGACTTGGCTGTATTTTTACTAGTATTAGGTTATCTGTGATTTTGAGTTGCAGATCTTGAATTCTTAAAGTAATTAGGTAAATTAAATAAAACACACACTGATTAAGATTAACTTTAATCGTTTGTCAATAATACATTAATATTACATTAAACTACATACAGCGGCCCCGGTAATAATGCAAATCGAAGATCGTTCAAGTAATACTTCCGAAAAAAATACTGTATGCTTGGGGTTCGCTGTGAAAATTAAATACTATAGTCCTTATCGCGAAAGAAGCTCTATAGATTATGCACATTTGGCTGAATGGCGTATGCCTTTGCCTTTCCATAATAAGGAATCGAATTAAAAAAATCTGCACATTTTGACATTTACGTTTCAGCGGGGCTATTCCGAAACGTTATCCGATGTTTCGAATGTTGCCATCCCTTTCATACAAAGCGAGTTGCCAGTAAGAGGGACGGTGACAGCAGACCCGAAACTATCAAAACGTCGTTTCGGAGTAGCCCCCCTGTAGTTCCAGAAAAATCCGCGGACTTCTTTCGAGGTAAGGATGTAAAATATGAACTAGGCTATCCGTTTATTGGAAAGTAAAATGTAGCAAGATGGAATCAGCAGACGGATTAACACTAGTAACATAACAATATTTGAAACTAAACAATATAATTTACAACAAAAATACGGAATTCAATTTTGAGATTTATTTGCAACTTTTTCGCATCCGCAAGTAGAAAACTTAATCTGTTAAAAAAGGCGGATGTTTTTTTGGATAAAAACCTTTTTTTGTTGTAAAAAACATGGCTTTGTTTTTATCTTAAGACTAAAAAAAAGATTTGAAACATAAAACCTCTTACATGCTATTTTATATAGTAAGATTATAGTAACACTGTATCTACTAAGTCAGTGAAAAGGAAATGTGATTGGTAATAATAAAAAAAATATTTCGAAACGTCGACGTTTGCAATTTATTTTGAACTCTACAACAAAAGTTATAAAGTCAAAAATTGCATGCAAAGTAGTGAAGCATGTGAGAAATTAACGTGATGAAGTTGGATTTCGAAATATTTTTACAAACAATTTTTTTTTTCATATTTTTTTACATTTTTTTGTTTTTTTTTTTTATCTTTTCATTTAGTTTTTTGGCTCTAACCCGGAGTGGGTGAATATAAGATACACGACGACATACATACGGTTTATATTTTAATAATAATAGTAAAGAAATATTTTTTGTTATTAAAATTTCTACGATTACAGTTTCGTTAACTAAAAAGGTGTTACTAGAAAACCATAGCGCGTTTTGAAAGCTGAAATAGTAGAAATAAAATACTTAAAGACTTGTGACTTTCAACAAAGTTAATAAAAAAAATGTGGGTAGTTTTTTTTAGACGTTTCATTAAAAATACATTTATTACCAGAACTTAAAACGGTTCAAAATCAAATTGTAGTGCTGGGAAATTATTTCCATTACAAAAAAAAACTGTTCTTTTTTTAACGCAAAAAATATTATTTATTTTTTACTTTTGAGAAAGCCACAAGACACTAATAATAATACACATTAAAAACTAAGCAACTATATTCTAATAATAATTCATGCTTGTTGAAGCCCTACTCCAAATCCCTGACAAAAAAGTGCTTACTAAGTTTACCTATGTGTGAATAGTTGTCCGTCCCAAAAATTACGTTTCAAAAAAAGATTTTTTTTAAACTGCAAAAGTGGTAGAAGTAATACTGAATTAAAAAAGTAATTTTATATCTTATGCCAGTAATAATTGAGACGACATTTCAACGCGAAGTACCCAAAGCATCTTGTCTGTTAAGCCGTGGTAGATTCTGAAAAGAAAGAAAAAGCGATTTAATAAATAAATAAACATTATGTTCTTGCAACTCACGAAGGCGAGTTAGCTTTACGGCCGATTCACACGTGTCTTCGTTTTACTGTTCCGTTTTATCGTGAACGTTTTTTTTCGTCGATGGCGTATGTAGTTTTATGAGCGACTTCACATATGACACAGTATTCTGTATACAGTAATACATACATCAACGAAAAAAAAACGTACACGATAAAACGGAACAGTAAAACGGAGACATGTGTGAACCGGCCGTAACTTGTGTGTGTACGCGTACATGCACATAACGGTAGTGTACTTATTATTATTCTGTGGTGTAATGTCTATCAAAACTTCTGAAAAACGAACAGTAGCGAGCCACCACACAATGTAAAGCTCACTCGCCTTCGTGAATTGCAACAAGTTATACATTTGTTTTATCTATATAAATAAAAATGAATTGATATTCGTTAGTCTGATTAAAACTCGAGAACGGGTGGGCCGATTGAGGATTTTGGTTGGTTTTAAAATGTTTTTCGTAGTCCAGGGTAGGTCTAAACGGTGAGCAAATACGCGCGCGATATTGTTTTTCTGTGACAGACAAAATTCCACGCGGGCGAAGCCGCGGGCGGAAAGCTAGTTTTTAATATTATTGTACTCTTCTTTCTCTTGTAAGCATTATATTTATTATACCTACATGAGAAATTAGTAAAATATTTTTATGTTTAACGTATTTATTTGGTTTACCAGTTGGCGCCACTGACGAGTAAGCTCTGATTTGCAAGTGGCGCCAAGTGAGTTTAAATGGAAGATATTTGAGCTCATATCACTAGTCACTCGTTATGAGCGAGGAGAGCGAGTTACTGGCGCCATCTGGCGCCACCTGGCGAGTTACAGCCGCTAACTGGTGAGTTAATGGCGCCAACTGATATTTCGATGGCCCCAACTGCATGTTGTAGTGCATGAATATAATAATATAGTCAGGGTTATCTCGCCAGTTCAGCTCTCAGCGAGCAAAAGGCGCCAACTGGGGAATAACTAGTAATTTACTGGCGACAACTAGTAAATTCTGGCGCCAGATAATAATTTAAAAAGCTGAAGAGTTTGTTTGTTTGTTTACTTGAACGCGCTAATCTCCGGAACTACTGGTCTGATTTGAAAAATTCTTTCAGTGTTAGATAGCCCATTTATCGAGGAAGGCTATAGGCTATACAACATCACGCTACGATCAATAGGAGCAGAGCAATAATGAAAAATATTGCGAAAACGGGTTTTCACGCGTACGAAGTCGCGGGCACAGCTAGTAAATTAATAAACAAACCGCTTTATTACCTCTACTGCATGTTGTAGTGCATGAATATAATAATATAGTCAGGTTTATCTCGCCAGTTCAGCTCTCAGCGAGCAAGAGGCGCCAACAGCAGAATAACTGGTAATTTACTGGCGACAACTAGTAAATTCTGGCGCCAGTTAATAATTTATGGCGTCAACTACATTTTCTGGCGCCAACTACTAATTTTCTGGCGCCAACTAGTAATTTTTGGCGCCAGTTAATAATTTCTGGCGCCAACTCATATTTAACTGGCGCCAACTGGCGACTTTTACAAATAAATAAATAAACAAACCGCTTTATTACCTCTACTGCATGTTGTAGTGCAAGAATATGTAGTCAGGGTTGTCGATATCGGCGGCGGCTGGCGCGCGCGGCGGCAGAAGTTGGAAACCCATGAACATAAACGTGCGAAGCAGCGTCGCGCGGTCTGGCCGCGTCTTTAGAACGCAGATGATGCAGCTGTAAGCGAAATTGGAGCTTATTAGAATGGGGTAAGGTTCATTTTTGAATAACAATTTTTGTCGTATTCTAAAAATGTCAATTTGTGAGTGAAGATGTGAAAAAGATGAATTTAGACATTAGTGCTTTGGGATAACACGCATTTTAGACAATATGCAGAAGCCGGAGGGACTCATAACATTAAACTTTGTAGTCTCTCTACCTGGTAACACTGAACATTGTCCTTTCCACCTGGTAACACTAACCATTGTCCTCTCTCCACACTGTAACACCGAACATTGTCCTCTCTCCACCTGGTAACACTGAACATTGTCCTCTCTCTACCTGGTAACACCAAACATTGTCTTCTCCATCTGGTAACACTAACCATTGTCCTCTCTCCACATTGTAACACCGAACATTGTCCTCTCTCCACCTGGTAACACTGAACATTGTCCTCTCTCTACCTGGTAACACCAAACATTGTCTTCTCCATCTGGTAACACTAACTATTGTCCTCTCTCCACCTGGTAACACTAAACATTGTCCTCTCTCTACCTGGTAACACCAAACATTGTCTTCTCCACCTGGTAACACTAACCATTGTCCTCTCTCCACCTGGTAACACTAAACATTGTCCTCTCTACCTGGTAACACTGAACATTGTCCTCTCTCTACCTGGTAACACTAAACATGGTCCTCTCTCCACCTGGTAACACTGAACATTGTCCCCTCTTCACTTTTAACAAACATAGCCCTATCTCCTGCTGTCAATACACCTGGTAACATTAAACATTGTCCACTCTCCACCTGGTAACACTAAACAATGTCCTCTCTACCTGATAACACTGAACATTGTCCTCTCTCTACCTGGTAACACCAAACATTGTTTTCTCCACCTGGTAATACTAAACAATGTCCTCTCTACCTGTTAACACTGAACATTGTCCTCTCTCTACCTGGTAACACCAAACATTGTTTTCTCCACCTGGTAATACTAAACATTGTCCTCTCTCCACCTAGTAACAAACCCTCTCTCTCTCACACTCTCTCCTGTAGTTAGATTTACCTGTCGCAGCCTCTCCTCTCCTCTGCGAAGTCTAGGAGTAGCATAAAGGACTCTTTGCCATGTAAAACTAAACATTGTCCCCTCTGCACCTGGTAACAAACCTCTCTCTCACTCTCTCCACTTAGTAAACCCTCTCTCTTTCTCTCTCACCTGTCGCAGCCTCTCCTCTCCTCTGCGAAGTCTAGGAGAAGCATGAAGGACTCTCCACCTCGTAACACTAAACATTGTTCTCTCTCCACCTAGTAACAAACCCTCTCTCTCACTCTCTCCACTTAGTAAACTCCCTCTCTCTTTCTCTCTCACCTGTCGCAGCCGAGCCTCTCCTCTGCGAAGTCCAGCAGAAGCATGAAGGACTCCTTGCTGCCTGCAGCCACCACGCCGGGAACGCGTAGGTACATGGTAGGACCTTTCACCACCTGGTAATACTAAACATTGTCCTCTCTCCACCTTGTAACACTAAATATTGTCCTCTCTCCACCTTGTAACACTAAATATTGTCCTCTCTCCACCTTGTAACACTAAATATTGTCCTCTCTCCACCTGGTAACACTAACCATTGTCCTCTCTCCACCTGGTAACACTAAACATTGTCCTCTCTCCACCTGGTAATACTAAACATTGTCCTCTCTTCACCTGGTATAACTGAACATTGTCCTCTCTTCACCTGGTAACACAGAACATTGTCCCCTCTCCACTTTGTAACAAACATAGCCCTATCACCTGCTGTCGATACACCTGGTAACATTAAACATTGTTCTCTCTCCACCTGGTAACAAACCTCCTCTCTCTCACTCTCTCCTGTCACTAACCTGTCGCAGCCAAGCCTCTCCTATTCGAAGTCCAGGAGAAGCATGAAGACTCCTTATTAGTACCTCTCTTCACCTGGTAACACTAAATATTGTCCCCTCTCCACCTAGTAACAAACCCTCTCTCTCTCACACTTTCTCCTGTAGATAGACTTACCTGTCGCAGCCTCTCCTTTCCTCTGCGAAGTCTAGGAGTAGCATAAAGGACTCTTTGCCATGTAAAACTAAACATTGTTCTCTCTTCACCTTGTAACAAACCCTCTCTCTCTCCTGTAGTTAGACTAACCTGTTGCAGCCACGCCTCTCCTATGCGAAGTCTAGGAGAAGAACCAAGGACTACTTATTAGTACCTCTCTTCACCTGGTAACACTAAACAATGTCCTCTCTCCACCTAGTAACAAACCCTCTCTCTCTCTCTCTCCTGTAGTTAGACTTAGCTGTCGCAGCCGAGCCTCTCCTCTGCGAAGTCCAGGAGAAGAATTAAGCAACTCCTTGCAATGTAACACTAAACATTGTCCTCTCTCCACTATGTAACAAACCATCTCTCTCTCCTGTAGTTAAGACTAACCTGTTGAAGCCAAGCCTCTCCTATGCGAAGTCTAGGAGAAGAACCAAGGACTCCTTATTAGTACCTCTCTTCACCTGGTAACACTAAACAATGTCCTCTCTCCACCTAGTAACAAACCCTCTCTCTCTCTCTCTCCTGTAGTTAGACTTACCTGTCGCAGCCTCTCCTCTCCTCTGCGAAGTCCAGGAGAAGCATGAAGCAAGAGCTCCATGCCATGTAACTTTGAACATTGCCCCCTCTCGACCTTGTAACAAACCCTCTATCTCACTCTCTCCACTTAGTAAACTCCCTCTCTCTTTCTCTCACCTGTCGCAGCCGAGCCTCTCCTCCGCGAAGTCCAGCAGAAGCATGAAGGACTCCTTGCTGCCTGCAGCCACCACGCCGGGAACGCGTAAGTACATGGTAGTACCTTTCACCACCTGGTAATACTAAACATTGTCCTCTCTCCACCTTGTAACACTAAATATTGTCCTCTCTCCACCTTGTAACACTAAATATTGTCCTCTCTCCACCTTGTAACACTAAATATTGTCCTATATCCACCTTGTAACACTAAATATTGTCCTCTCTCCACCTTGTAACACTAAATATTGTCCTCTCTCCACCTTGTAACACTAAATATTGTCCTCTCTCCACCTTGTAACACTAAATATTGTCCTCTCTCCACCTTGTAACACTAAATATTGTCCTCTCTCCACCTTGTAACACTAAATAGTGTCCTCTCTCCACCTTGTAACCCTCTCCACCTAGTAATAAGCCCTCTCTTTCTCTCTCACCTGTCGCAGCCGAGCCTCTCCTCCGCGAAGTCCAGCAGAAGCATGAAGGACTCCTTGCTGCCTGCAGCCACCACGCCAGGAACGCGTAGGTACATGGTAGTACCTTTCACCACCTGGTAATACTAAACATTGTCCTCTCTCCACCTGGTAACACTAAACATTGTCCTCTCTCCACCTGGTATAACTGAACATTGTCCTCTCTTCACCTGGTAACACTAAACATTGTCCTCTCTTCACCTGGTATAACTGAACATTGTCCTCTCTTCACCTGGTAACACAGAACATTGTCCCCTCTCCACTTTGTAACAAACATAGCCCTATCACCTGCTGTCGATACACCTGGTAACATTAAACATTGTCCTCTCTCCAACTGGTAACAAACTCTCTCTCACTCTCTCCTACTCAGAATAACCTGTCGCAGCCTCTCCTCTCCTCCGCGAAGTCCAGGAGAAGCATGAAAAGACTCCTTGCCTTGTAACAGTAAACATTGTCCTCTCTCCACCTGGTAACAAACCATCTCTCTCACTCTCTCCACTTAGTAAACTCCCTCTCTCTTTCTCTCTCACCTGTCGCAGCCTCTCCTCTCCTCTGCGAAGTCCAGCAGAAGCATGAAGCAAGAACTTCATGCCAGGTAACTTTGAACATTGCCCCCTCTCCTAGGTGGAACAAACCCTCTCTCTCACTCTCTCCACTTAGTAAACTCCCTCTCTCTCTCTCTCTCACCTGTCGCAGCCGAGCCTCTCCTCCGCGAAGTCCAGCAGAAGCATGAAGGACTCCTTGCTGCCTGCAGCCACCACGCCGGGAACGCGTAGGTACATGGTAGTACCTTTCACCACCTGGTAATACTAAACATTGTCCTCTCTCCACCTTGTAACACTAAATATTGTCCTCTCTCCACCTGGTAACTCTAAATATTGTCCTCTCTCCACCTAGTAATAAGCCCTCTCTCTCTCTCCCTCTCTTGTAGTCAGACTAACCTGTCGCAGCCAAGCCTCTCCTATGCGAAGTCCAGCAGAAGCATGAAGCAAGAACTCCATGCCACGTAACTCTGAACATTGCCCCCTCTCCTAGGTAGAACAAACCCTCTCTCTCACTCTCTCCACTTAGTACACTCCCTCTCTCTTTCTCTCTCACCTGTCGCAGCCTCTCCTCTCCTCTGCGAAGTCCAGGAGAAGAATTAAGCAACTCCTTGCAATGTAACACTAAACATTGTCCTCTTTCCACTTTGTAACAAACCATCTCTGTCTCCTGTAGTTAGACTAACCTGTTGCAGCCAAGCCTCTCCTATGCGAAGTCTAGAAGAAGAACCAAGGACTCCTTATTAGTACCTCTCTTCACCTGGTAACACTAAACAATGTCCTCTCTCCACCTAGTAACAAACCCTCTCTCTCTCACACTCTCTCCTGTAGTTAGACTTACCTGTCGCAGCCTCTCCTCTCCTCTGCGAAGTCCAGGAGAAGAATTAAGCAACTCCTTGCCATGTAACTCTGAACATTGTCCTCTCCATCTAGTAACAAACCCTCTCTCTCACTCTCTCCACTTAGTTAACTCCCTCTCTCTCTCTCTCTCACCTGTCGCAGCCTCTCCTCTCCTCTGCAAAGTCCAGGAGAAAAATTAAGCAACTCCTTGCAATGTAACACTAAACATTGTCCTCTCTCCACCTTGTAACAAACCATCTCTCTCCTGTAGTTAGACTAACCTGTCGCAGCCAAGCCTCTCCTATGCGAAGTCTAGGAGAAGCATGAAGCAAGAACTCCATTCCATGTAACTTTGAACATTGCCCCCTCTCCACCTTGTAACAAATCCTCTCTCACTCTCTCCACTTAGTAAACTCCCTCTCTCTCTCTCACCTGTCGCAGCCGAGCCTCTCCTCTGCGAAGTCCAGCAGAAGCATGAAGGACTCCTTGCTGCCTGCAGCCACCACGCCGGGAACGCGTAGGTACATGGTAGTACCTTTCACCACCTGTTAATACTAAACATTGTCCACTCTCCACCTGGTAACACTAAACATTGTCCTCTCTCCACCTTGTAACCCTCTCCACCTAGTAATAAGCCCTCTCTCACTCTCTCACCTGTCGCAGCCTCTCCTCTCCTCTGCGAAGTCTAGGAGAAGCATGAAGCAAGAACTCCATGCCATGTAACTTTGAACATTGCCCCCTCTCCACCTAGTAACAAACCCTCTCTCTCACTCTCTCCACTTAGTAAGCTCCCTCTCTCTTTCTCCCACCTGTCGCAGCCGAGCCTCTCCTCCGCGAAGTCCAGGAGAAGAATTAAGCAACTCCTTGCAATGTAACACTAAACATTGTCCTCTCTCCACCTTGTAACAAACCATCTCTCTCTCCTGTAGTTAGACTAACCTGTTGCAGCCAAGCCTCTCCGCGAAGTCCAGGAGAAGCATGAAGCAAGAACTCCATGCCATGTAACTTTGAACATTGCCCCCTCTCCTAGGTGGAACAAACTCTCTCTCTCTCACTCTCTCCACTTAGTAAACTCCCTCTCTCTTTCTCTCTCACCTGTCGCAGCCGAGCCTCTCCTCTGCGAAGTCCAGCAGAAGCATGAAGGACTCCTTGCTGCCTGCAGCCACCACGCCGGGAACGCGTAGGTACATGGTAGTACCTTTCACCACCTGGAAACATTCATTTATTTTATCTGACGCTAAAAGATTTTGTTAGGAGTGGGTTCACCATGGGTGCCCTCTCAGACGCATAACATTTTTCATCATAATTTAGTTTGGCATAACAGTATTGGCATAAAGTTTTTTCGCATAAACTTTGATTGGCATAGTTTTCTAAATGCATAATGGTTTCTTAGGCATAATAATAACTTTCTCTAATTTTCAATTATGTTATGCCTAGAAATCGTTATTAAAAAAAAGAGAATACAGAAAAAATATATACTAAAATATTATTAATATAATAAAAGTGGTTATGGCAAAAAAAAATTATGCCTTATGATTTATACTGTATGAGGGCATTTCTCCACTAAATGGAAAATCGCTGTCCCAAGCTAAATTTATGTAGTAAACCTTAAAATTTATCAGGTTTTTGTATCAATACCGACATAGAATTAGGTATTCTTAGCATGACATAGCATATTTAGTAATTTAATCATGGAATATTCGAATAAATAACCTCAAACGTCTCAAATCACAGTCCCCTGGTACGTCCCTTTTCCAGAATTACACATATTGTTACAAATGTTTATTATATTGCTGTTGATATTTGAATAAAAAATATCCAAATACATTAACAATAACAGTTAGCATCTTAATACATCACAAACAATGTTTACAATATAATTTTAATCAAAATATCCTTCTGAGAATGCTGTCCTCAAATTATTAAAACATTCCCCTGTTAAAATTTTAAAACCGGTTTAAAGTCATATTTAGTTTTGGCGCAAAGCACTTAGATCGCGAAACGGAACGCAATAGATGTTAAGGTTGTTCAGTTGTGTAGCTAGTGGGCAGCCGCTATTTTGTTTAATGCTACTACTGCGTCATCTGGTGAACCACGCGTCTCGGCCGTCAGTGAAAACATTCCCCTGGTGAGCCTTTTTTTTACTATTTTAAGAGTTTTAATAACGACAATTTGTTTAAATTAATTAATCTTCTAGTATGTATACACATAAGTTGTGTTTATTTTAATGTTTTTAAATGATATTGTTTTATGAAGTATTCACGTAAAAATAACATTCCCCTGGCGAACATTCCCCTGTCATTTCATAGCACAGGGTACTGTTCATACCACAGGGGACTGTTCATACTACTGTTTTCCTAGGTTTTGACCACTAAAATAACGTCTTTTTAGTAGGTATTATCTCAAAATTTCACCGAAAAAGAAGCTACGCGAAACATGAGAAGAATTTCTAGAACAAAAACGTATAGCTGTGCAATTATGATATCATCGACTTGAAACATTACCCTAAAAGAAAAATTGAAAAAAAGAAGAAAAAAGAAAAACTTTAAATAAAATCAGTTAAAGATATGAGTTGTCGTGAGCATAAGGCTGTAAAAAAGGTTTGGAGGGAGCACTGTGCTAAGTTTCGTGCAAAAAAGAAAGTCATGAAGACATAACAAATAATTTGTGTTTCTTTACGAGATCGAATCAGAAATGAGGAGATCCGTAAACGAACTAAAGTCGGTGACATAGCCCGACGGATTAGCAAGCTGAAGTGGCAATAGGAAGGCACATAGTACGCAGAACTGATGGCCCATCGGCAGCAAGGTTCTGTAGTGGAGGCCGCGTGGACGTCCCACGCTGCGTTTTACGGTACACAAGGTGGACCGACGACATTATAAAGGTAGTAGGAAGGCGCTGGACGCAGGCCGCTACGAATCGATCAACATGGAAGTCTTTGAGGGAGGCCTATGTTCAGCAGTGGACGTCCTATGGCTGAAATGATGATGATGATAATGAACAAATAATTTCGGAAGGGAAAATACCTACATCTGATTCAGAAGATTTCGCAGAAGAACATCAGGCGCCTTTAAGATCATCTGACCCAACACGAAATAACAAGAATAACGTTTCAATATTACATTCACCAGAAACGGGGTCAAAAAACAAAAATTAGCAGTAATAATGTTTTTTGTTTATTACTTTTTGTATTTTTTTTGGTTCTGTTTTAAAAGGCAGGATACTACATTTTTGATTATTATAAAGACTGACTTTAGTGTCATACAATTTAAGTCTTAAAACTTAATTGTTCGTTAAGTTTAATGCTACTGTTATTAGGCTTAAGAAAAGTCATTATAAATTAGTAATATTTGTTTTAATAATAATATTTTTTGTTACAAAAACTTGCATATTTTTATAATGGCAAAGAAAAATAAAGAGTTTGTTTACTCAAAGAAAAATATAATTGTTTTTGTCCATAATACATTCCCCTGGGTGGTTGCAACAGTCCCCTGTCGCAATTTTGCGAAAAATCGCCAATAACTAAAAAACTAAGGGGAAAATGTGTGGGCTTTTTTAGATATGTATTTAAATTACTATTGCCCTGAATTTCGTTCACAAAATTTCTCAACATTTAATAAAATTTGTTCGGGACAGTCTTGTATGGACGATTTTCCAAATAGCAGAGAAACACCCATGAACGTTATGCGAAATGATGAGTATGCCAAAAAACTTTATGCACTCTTAAATTATGACAATATTTTTTATGCAACCGAATATGGACCCGTTCACCACAATACTCGAGCGGCTACCAACTATCAGTCAACTAATAGTTGGTTTAGTAATTTTAATGCACAAATTACCAACAAATAATCCATTTAATCTCTCTAGTTAAGCTAAAATCGTGCTACTAGAAATGGGTTCACCATAATTCAGCAGTCTACCGATGCTAGAATCCAAATTGCATCAAATCAAAAATATTTATTCAGTTTAGACCACAAGTGGCACTTATGATGATGATGTAGGTATAACCAGGAGGTATAACTTCAAATCACAATAACAATTGTTGAAATATGCATTCATTATCTAAAACACTACGCACTAGTTATAAATAAGTTAGAGGGCATTGACACAGATATCTACAGCCGGGTCATTCTCCAATAGATAATAATGTATTGGATGAATATGACCCATTTTATAATAAACACGAGTATTGGCTTGAGCAATCAATTGATATACTTTTTTATTGTACGAAGTTGCTAGAATATAGATATTCATCCACGAAGACGCGCCCCACCACTTTTTGGTCTCGGTCGCGCGGGGTGCGGGGAGTTTGATCGGAGCAATCCGTAAGGCATTATTGTAGTGTGCGTGTGCACTCATGGATGATTTAGCGTGTACCGATAACACTCAAACATTAGCGGAAGAATGGTGGGGCGCGTCTTCGTGGATGAAACGATCTATGCATCCCGTTTTGCGGGATCCTTCTTTACAGGAATTTTGCAAAACTAGATTGCCGTGGGAACGAGCCCTAACGCGCTTTTTAAAAGCCTATTTGCAAAAAATAAATGGATTTAGGACTTTTAGGCTGAGTTGCACCACCGGTTATCGTTAAAGTTATTAACGATAACCGGTGCTTTTTGGGGTTCCGTAGTTCTAACAAGGAACCCCAAATTATATGGAGTTCGACAGATTTTTGACGCTTTTTAAAGTCAAAGTAATATGGTACAACCCAGCTTAAATTAGGAAGTACTGAAGTCAACTGTGATGGTATTATTGATGACTAGCTGACCCGGCGAACTTCGTACTATGGTCGTCAGGGTGTAGGATTCTAATGGTGAAATATTTTGTTTAAATCGGTCCCGTAGTAAGATTGGTGTGGTGACATCCCCTAAAGCGCTTTTTACCCGACTGCACCAGAAGGAGGGTTATGTTTTTAAAAGCCTATTCACAGAACATAAATTACTTAAAATGTTACTTACAGCTTCCCAACGCAGGACCGTGTTCTCAGTCAAGTAGATCTTGAACTCGATTTTGACTGGCTGCTTGTCCTTGCGTTCCAGGATCTTACGGATAACCTGGAAAAATAATAATCATTTATAAAGTCAACAGCCAACAGTAACCCAAAGGGCGATGGAGCGGGCTATGCTCGGAATTTCCCTTCGTGATCGAATCAGAAATGAGGAGATCCGCAGGAGAACCAAAGCAACCAAAGAGACCGACATAGCTGCAAGTGGCAGTGGTCGCTGGGGCCGGAAGACGTAGTGTACCCACACAGGCCCCCCACTAGGTGGACCGACGATCTGGTGAAGGTCGCGGGAGGTGCCTTGACTCCGCTACAAGAGTGGCGTTGTCAGTAGCATTCACTAAATCTTCCTGCGTGCAGTTGTTGTGGCACGCAGGGCACGACATCATGTGTGATGTGCTTCATCGACTGGGGAACAAAACCGCACTTGCACTCTAACTTTGGCTCTTTGTATGATTTTCTTACTGCTTCGCGATGTTCATTGTCCAGCAATGGGTGGGATCTCCGAACTGCCGCTGGTCCATGGCAGGACGCTCAACAAGCGAGAGAGAGACGGGAGATAGAGGATAGACGAGAAGAGAGAGGTCTTACCTAAGTCTGTCGCCATAACAACAATGTTAACAGCATTGTTGTTTTCCGGCAGTTAGAGGTAAGATAGCCAGTTCCTCCGTGGTTGAGGATTCCGGGTGAAGCTCGCTTCCACCTTCGGCCTGATCGTCACTTACCATCAGGTGAGATACAAGCCAAGAGATCCTCGTGGTGGATTAAAAATAAAGGAGATAAGGGAGAGGGGAGGAGAGAAGAGGAGATGGGAGGAGGGAGAGGAGACAGAAGAAAGAAAAGAAATAAGGAGAATAAGACATGGGAAGAAGAAAAAAAACCTGGTGGTAGGAGTAACCTGCCAGCTGGCCCATAGACCCGCTTAGCTAGCTAGAGTGGCTTCAAGTATGATTTTCTTACCGCTTCGCGATGTTCATTGTCCAGCGGCGGGCGGACGGCCGGCGCGGGCTCGGCGAGGCTCTCCGAACTGCCGTTCAGAGAGCTGGCGCTGGCCCATAGCAGGGCGCTCAACAAGGGAGGGGGGAGAGAGGAGAGGAGAGGGAAGGGAGAAGAGAGAGGAGAGAGAAGGGACAGCAGTGAGTAGGAGAGGGGAGGGAGGAAGGAGAGAGGGGGAAGCGAGGAGAGTGGGGAGAGAGGAAGGAGAGGGGATGGAGAGAGGAGGGAGGGAGGACAGAGGTGGGAGAGGGGGAGAGAAGAGGGAGAAGGAAGAGAAAAGTGAGGAGAGGGGAGTGAGAGAGGACAGAGGAGGGGAGGGGGAGGGAGAAAAGGAAATAGGGAGGAGAGGGGAGCTCAATAAGCGAGAGGAGAGAGGAGGTAGAGAAGAGAGGAGCGGATGGGGAAGAGACACGAGAGAGGGAGGAGCGGTAGAGAGGATAGAGGAGGGAGGGGGATAAGATAGACGAGACTTGAGAAGAAAGCAGACGAATGAGAAGAAAACAAACTTGGTGGTGAGATCAGTCAGCTGGCCCATAGACCCGCCCGCTCAGCAAGCTGCTGGTCAGACCTGTCAGCTGTCCTATAGGAAAAAAGCTAGAGTGGCCTCAAGTATGATTTTCTTACCGCTTCGCGATGTTCATTGTCCAGCGGCGGGCGGATGGCCGGCGCGGGCTCGGCGAGGCTCTCCGAACTGCCGTTCAGGGAGCTGGCGCTGGCCCATAGCAGGGCGCTCAACTAGCGAGGGGGGAGAGAGGAGAGAGAGGTAAGGAGAGGTAGGGGAGGAGAGGGAGGGGAGGAGAGGGAGAGAGAGGGGAACGAAGGAAAGAGGAGAGAGGGAAGAGAGAAAGGAAAGAGAGGCAAGGGAGGAGAAGAAAGCAGACGAATGAGAAGAAAACAAACCTGGTGGTCAGACCTATCAGCTATCCTATAGCAGTTGGCCCATAGACCGGCTCTGCAAACTTAAGTGGAAGAAGATTGTACTATAGTGAGACCTACCACCACCCATGGTACTTCCTGCCTCACGGCGTACGAACCGAATCTCGGGAGAGCGCGCGGGTACTTGCTCTGGGCTCTTTTCCCCGGGCGCTTTGCTTGACTCCCTACAAATTTCTCTGATCCATGTCCCTTCTCATAGTCAATTCTCCCCCTTCTAGGGCTTGACACCACAAATACGGTACTTCGCGTCGGGCTGCTATCGTTGATAAATGTCATCACTTCTTCTCATAACTTCGCCTGATTGTGTGCCAGGAGTGCGCGAACTCGCGCAGTGCGATCCAGTTACTGCGACTACTCGTGAGGTCCTGGTGATAAACAGGTCCTTGCTCGGCTCTCCGTATCGCATCCAGCATGGGCATAGTGCAGACTCGCACAGCGTCCTATAGTGAGACCTGTCAGCTATAATCCTGTCTGGCCTGTCAGGAAAAAGACACAAGCTTACCGCTTCGCGATGTTCATTGTCCAGCGGCGGGCGGACGGCCGGCGCGGGCTCGGCGAGGCTCTCCGAACTGCCGTTCAGAGAGCTGGCGCTGGCCCATAGCAGGGCGCTCAACAAGTCACCTGCGAAACATAGATGGCTTCATATAACCCGAAGAAATGCAGGTTGCAGACCAAAAACCAAGTGGGTTTGACGCAGTTCCGTTAGCATTTCGTCACGAATGAAAAAACAGTCCCATTCGCATTTGGTTCCATTTCCTTTCCATTATCCAAATGTTGGTAAATTTGCCAAATAATAATAAATAATAAATAAATCTTTGGACAATTTCACACAGCGCCAGCTAGCCCCAAAGTAAGCAACTTAATGCTTGTGTTATGGGTGCTAGCTTAACGGATATACTACTTATATACTTTTTTTTTAAATACATACATAATTATTATACATAGTCACACCCAGACCCGTCACAGAAATTAAAATTCATCATTTCAATTTCTGCTCGGCCGGGAATCGAACCCGGGACCTCTCGGCATAGTAGTCCGTTCTGAACCACTACACCAAACGGCCGACAAAATGTTGGTCAACTTGCCAAATGTTGCAAAAATATTTTTGCCCTACCCGCACCATCTGGTCTATTCCACTTTGATCACCTGTATTTGATCACCCAGGTGATCAAAGTGACTTCAAGTGACACTTTAGTGTCCTTTGATTATAACAATTAAGAAGTCCACTTTGAGATCTTATCCATTTGTGATCAAAGGACCCCAGTGTCGCCCGATGGCCATTTTGATCACCTGGGTGATCTAATTCAGGTGAACAAAGTGGAATAGACCAAAAAGATTATTATGAGACATGTGATGTGAAGGCAAGGAAGCATAACTTAAGTTTTTTTATTTTAATATGTGACGATTTGTATGCATGCACTATGTTTGGAGGAATTTTGACTTTGACTTTATACTCACGATTGTTGTCGTCGTGGGTAGGGGTGGATGGGGTAGCGGGGCTCGAAGCCCCGCTAGTCACCCCTCCGGGCGGTGCGGAGCCGTGAGCAGGGACATCAGGACCACCTGCAGGGGATACGGGGTAAAAACCTACTTAAATATGACTTACAGCTAAAGTCCGGTCGCCGAGCACATAGAATTTCATCCAATGATCCCAAGCTACCCATCCTTATCGCTCGCGTGGAATTATATAGCTGTCGCGCTCGCACACTCACTGCGGCCGCCCATCGAACAGTCGCGACAGCAAGGATGATTAGCTTCGGGGTCATTGGACGAAATTCTATGTGCTCAGCGATCGGACTTCCCACTTCCACCTACAAGGTGGTGACCTTATAAAGGTTACGGGACTATTCCCACCGCTGACACTCTTGTACAGCCAGGATCTACAGCTTGACTGCCAATAACCCAACCAGTAAAGGTCAAGTTTGTCCCCGAAGAAAGTTAGTGTCATGGACCCGCCACGAAATTCCTGGCTGGCTACATAGGAGCTGCAGCGATTGGAGCGAGATGAAGATTATTGTGTGTTCTCACCACCCGGCGCCAAGACACAGCTACAAACACTGCATTGAGAGTCAATCGCGATTTGTTACCAATTTGAAAGACGCCTTAATGTGTTCATATTCGTGTGTACTCACCACATTTTTTTTTCGGACGGACTGTGCTGATAGCCGTGAGCGGCTTTCTAAGCATCACCGGACAATAGGTGAGCGCAGATGGCTCTCAACCTCAAAATTTAAGCAACGCCGAAGGGCACCCAAGTGTGGTGATCGGACCTTGGCCTAGGGCGTTGCTGTGACGGTGACCTAGCATAAGTTTGGGGAGAGATGGTGTTAGGCAGCCGGGCACATGCCGATACCGCGAGAAAAATGGACGGGTCGAAGGAGCTTCCTCAGCGACGATAGATTGGTATGTACTCACCACAGAGGCCCGGCGCCCAGGCACAGCGAAAAACACTCGGCGTCGGAAGCCGACAAAGCCGAGCGCTTGCTGCCTGCAGCGCTCAGCGATGCGCCATCGCCGCTGCAACAAAACAATAATAAATTAATACAAAACATTTTTAAATAAAACAAGCCCCATAACGTAAGAGCTCTCATCAAGACAAAACTAACGAGTCCAGACATGATAATGGTTGCTGTAAGTCAGTCTACTTAGAGCACCCGCCCAAATAGCACCAGCACGAATAGCACCTGACATAATCCACGAAGAGCACCTATCGATATCGCTATTCGTTCGTTCGTTTCAGCCAAATGACGTCCACTGCTGGACAAAGACCTTCCCCAAGGATTTGCACAAAGACCGGTCCTACGCCGCCCATATCCAGGAACCTCCCGCGACCTTAAGCAGATCGTCCGGCCACCTAGTGGGAGGCCTGCCCACACTACGTCTTCGGCAGTGGACGTCATTCGGTTGAAACGAACGAACATTTAATACGCAGCGTGGGACGTCCGTCCACAAGGACCGACGACTTCATAAAGGTAGGAGGAAGGCGCTGGATGCAAGCCACTACTAACCGGGATATATGGAAATCATTGGGGGTGAAGCCTATGTTCAGCAGTGGACATCAAGTGGGCCCTGTGGCTGAAACGATGACGATAAATTGGGCACTTCATATCAAAAAAGTAAATCAATTGACTACGGTATCCACTACGCTATTTTACGAAAACCTAGTGCACAATGTGCACGAATCAACATTCTTATACACTTGTAATAATACGAAAACATAGATGTACAATTTATAATACATAGCCGACAATGTGAATGCCATGCCGTTCTAATATTAATAAAACCACGGACTTACGGACGACCTTGGAAGCATTTCTCGATCGTACGATAGCGTCATTGCATAAAACAATATACCTACTGTGTTCACCTTGCAGCCTTGTAAGCATACAGTTTTATATTTTTGTTTTTCTTTAGTCAGGTTATTTAGTCACGTTTTTGTTTCGTTTTTACTTTTTACTCACAACGGAGATGCTTTTGGCCTGCATCCCAACTATAATATTATAAATGCGAAAGTAACTCTGTCTGTCTGTCTGTCTGTTACGCTTTCCCGCTTAAACCTCGCAACCGATTTTGATGAAATTTGGCATAGAGATAGTTTGAGTCCCGGGAAAGAACATAGGATAGTTTTTATCCCGGTTTTTGAAACAGGGACGCGCGCGATAAAGTTTTTCTGTGACAGACAAAATTCCACGCGGGCGAAGCCGCGGGCGGAAAGGTAGTTTTTTATATTTGGCAAAATTCACATTTTGAGAATTTTGAGTCAAGTGCTCATTCAATTATCAAACGATTCTTGCTTAAGTGAAGCAGCAAATAAAACGCACAGCGTAGAATAGAGCTCTGTAATTGGCTCGTGTATCAACCTGTGCGTCCACGCGCACTGTGAGACCTCATAGTAATGTTTTGTAAATACGGGCGAAAATCGTGTTGTGAACTTTTTGTCTACTTTGGGTGTCACGAATTATTTGATGCTGACTGTATTTGAAATAGGCGCATTTTGCAACAAGACTCAGATAATGTGACTGTACCTCGCATTCTTGTCATAAGATAATGCTGTCAATCATCATCAGGCAAATAAGAACCTAATTGAGTGAGAATAGGGTGTATAATTCTTTGAGTCCAGCCGCCGACACAATTTGATAGACAAGTCAACGCACTATTACCTCTATAGGACTACTAGCTTTCCGCCCGCGGCTTCGCCCGCGTGGAATTTTGTCTGTCACAGAAAAACTTTATCGCGCGCGTCCCTGTTTCAAAAACCGGGATAAAAACTATCCTATGTTCTTTCCCGGGACTCAAACTATCTCTATGCCAAATTTCATCAAAATCGGTTGCGAGGTTTAAGCGGGAAAGCGTAACAGACAGACAGACAGACAGACAGAGTTACTTTCGCATTTATAATATTAGTTGGGATAGGTTCTCAGAAAGACCTTATCTAAGATGGAAGCTACATAACTGCGATATAATTTGCCAGGAATTTCCATCCTGCAGTAAAGTAGGAATACAGGCCAAGAGCTTCCTCGTTGTGGATAAAAAAAAAAAAAAAAAAAAAAAAAAAAAAAAAAAAAAAAAATTTAAAATTAAAGTTTGCTATTGACCCAACTGGAAACCAAACCTGAAAACTTGCGCTACACTCCTAATCCGGCGACACGAGTCGTCGACTTTTGACATGTTGTCAAATATCATAGAAGTAAAGGCTGTTAAAATATACACACGACGGCACTAGCTAAACATTATCGATTCGAAAACGAAAGTCACGTTGTCTACCTGACAGCCATTAGATCGTTTGATTAAAAGTACATAAACTCATAACTAGATGGCGCGTGCGTGTTGATTTCGTGACGTAGCGAAGTCTTATGTCAATTCAAAAAGTCGCTATCGTTATCGCTAGTCGCTACGACAAAACAAGACGTACGTTACAATAATAACATACAAACCTGGGTGATTGTGTTTATACATATTGCTATGCTATTATTATGCATTTGGTTGTCAAAACATTAAACGAGTTTAAAATTGTTGCAGAATTTTTTATACTAATATTATAATTGTCGTGCTCTCCNTAAACTGTGGTGGAGCGCGTACAAACGTGCCAGGAACCGTTGCAACAACTTAACTAGAGCAGCGAAACGCCGTTATTTCCATGATAACGTGCTCTCCTCTTCTAGTTCTGACGTCTGGAAATTTTTAAAATCACTTGGTCTTGGCAAGGCATCTTGTATTACTCCTTCCTCAACTTTCACTCCCAACGAGCTGAATATACACTTCTCCTCGGCCACTCTTTTGGACGTCACTACTAAGCTCTCTACGATCTCCTATTTAAACTCTCTTCCTATTTCCACACATAGCTCCTTTTCATTCTCCCCTGTCACCGTTGATGAGACCAAAAAGATCATCCTCTCTATTAAATCGAAAGCTGTAGGCCCGGATGAGGTTAGTAGAGCGATGATACTCATGATCCTGGATAACTTACTTCCTGCCATCACCCATGTCATTAACTCCTCCTTTGACCGTGGGTGTTTCCCCTCCGCTTGGCGTCTGGCTCATGTCATTCCTTTGCCCAAACTCTCCAACCCTACCACCTTAAACCAATTTCGTCCTATCTCCATTCTACCCTTTCTTTCTAAAGTTCTTGAAGCGGCAGCTCACAAACAGTTTTCAAAATTTGTACTCGAAAACCGTCTCCTTAGCCAATTTCAGTCTGGCTTCCGCCCAGGACATAGCACTACAACTGCGCTCCTAAAAATAGTGGATGATGTCAGAGCTGGCATGGAGGAGTCACGGGTTACTGTACTAGTCTTAATAGACTTCTCAAACGCTTTTAACACGGTGGACCATGACATCCTTCTTGCCATTCTATCCCACCTTGGAGTCTCTCCATCGGCTGCGGAATGGTTCTCATCTTATCTCTGCGGTCGGAGACAGGCGGTGCGAGTCGGTCGAACATGCTCGGAATGGAGAGATCTTGCAACCGGCGTGCCTCAAGGAGGTATACTCTCACCCATCCTTTTTTCTGTCTTCATTAACATCCTTACTTCTCACCTTTCTTCATCCTTTCATCTCTACGCTGACGACCTCCAACTTTACGTACAAGCTGAACCCTCTAATATTTCTGATGCAGTCTCGCAGCTAAATTCAGACCTTCGCAGTATTGCTGATTGGTCTGGTAGGTTCGGAGTAAGGGTCAATCCCGGCAAGTGTCAGGCGATAGTGCTGGGGGGCTCTAGGCAACTGGCTTTTTTTTTTTTTTTTTTCTTATCTCTGACATGTGTTATGTGTACGCCAATATTAATATTATGTTTATGTATCTTTGTGTATGTCTATTATATTAATATGTATTCGTATGTTATTTATTTTATCTAATGCTATGTAAGTAGGTATATTAATTAAACGTCATATTTATTACACCGCCTTAATCTCTCTACTCGACCTGTGGTTGACTGGCAGATAATGCCACCTGGCATTAAGTCCGCCACTGTACATATGTATGTGCAAAAGTGTAAATAAATAAATAAATAAATAAATAAATATTGAAATCCATTATCGTCATTTGTCAGCGTAATCAAATACATTTACGACGATGTCTCTTGAACTGTCCACTATATGTTACGTCCCGTCATTATTGCTTTGTTCTTGTGTTTCATTGATGCGGCGAGTGCGTGCGGCAATGAAATCTGAAGCAAAGGTCAGAGGCCGCAGCTGTAGGCCGCAGCTGTAGGCTGTAGGCCGCAGCTGTAGGCTGTATATGCAAAAATACACGAACTTACTTTTCTTTTTTAAGGTAGGTAGGTATATAAACTTTTCTCATTATAGAAAGTGGTTCGCAATCCGTAACTGCTTTTACTGGGTGATGTGTGTTAGAACTTTTTCAATTGACTCACGTATTGGCTTTTTCATTTTCAATCAAAACATAATATAAACTTTTTGGCATCCTAACGCCAGAAATGTATATATTCTCGTGAAGAGTGGCATTTGAATATTTGTAGATGGTTGATAAAACAATGATAACACAAATTCCTTTTAAAAGTATCAGTCGGCGTTATCGCACAAGCGCCCGCGGCCGCGCGTGTAGTGTGTAGCGCGCGCCCACGCTCGCATCGATAAATGATCACTTTGTCGCGTCCGCATCTTCATTTGCATATTATCTCGCGGTGGCCGCTATCGCGCGCGGGTGGTCGTATTTACCCACATTTATATGTTTATTTGGTATCCCATTTCCATAAATAATAATTTTCAGAAAACACGCGTACTCCAAACTGCCGCAGTAACACGCACAACCAGCTTCGTGATTAGGTTATGTATGTCATTAAGTAGTTAAAAGCAGAACCTGCTTCAGAGACGTCCGTTTAAATGTTCCATTATTACCTATAATGCATTTTCTGTTTGTCGAAATAGGCACTTTGTCGATATAAGGGTAAGTAGACACCATGGAGAATCAATATTGACCGTAGCCGCAAGCCGCCCTAACCTTCATAAGCGAACTATGCAAGATCAAGTCCAAAAAAACGTTTATTTGCCTAGTCGGTGTGCATTAGCTATAAATATTGCCTCACAACTTCAGGCGCTCCGACCTATTAATAACATAATAATATTTGCACCATAAAGCCCAAACTAAACAGTTATTAAAGGATTCCCGTAAATTGCGAGTGGAAGTTAAATTGTTTACGCGCGTGTGTCGAAGCCGATACGAAGTTTATTTTGAAGTTTCGCGAGTTTTGTGAGAGATAAGGAGTAGTGGATGAGTCATGTCGTTCTTATTAAGTTCGCTGCCGTGCCAGGGCGGCGTTAGGGCGGTCGCGAGGAGTTGCGACGAAAGTGACCGACGCCCGTCGGACTGATAACGCATTTCACTAGCGCGATGAATACATAAAGCTGCCGTTTCGCCAAAATTATTGGCGTCCTGAACTATAAATAGGCCGGGACTCGCCGCAGTCGCCGGCGAACTCTTAGCATAAGTCAACAGGACTTGTGCAAGCCCTCGAAAAAGGGCTTGAATACAGATATATTTTACGTTACAGATCGATGATCTTTTGGAGAAAATAGAAATAATTTTAACATTAGGTGGCTTAATACGTTATGCTCGTCATCAAGGGTCTTTTGAATTTATGGAGTGTTTAGCTTTTATTATACGATCCCGACACTTTTTTATCGTAAAAAGAAAAAATACTGCTCAAGTGCTCAACTCTATAACATGCACATACATATTGAAGATTCTCTCGCATTATTGTGTTGGTCAGACCCGCAGATGTGACGGACGTGAATGGAATCGGAGTCGTGAATCAGGCCCACAACCGCGGGGCCCGGCGGAGTCACTCGCGCCGCCGACCACGGCCCTGTCGCTGTATGACCGGAGACACTACACAAAATAGACTACATGATGTATCACAATGCATGCTGCCATCGCTAACTGATTTTATTGTTCATTGACACGGGCCCAGTTTTAATTTAGCTATTATTTTATTTACTAAAACGATAAAATAAAATCTTGATAATGTTGCTAATGCAGTTTTGTAGTTGACAACTATAATATGTATAAAGTAAACGTAACCGATAGCACTTTCCTTTTGTATAAGAAAACATTTTTCAGTGTTTATTTTAATTGATTACTGTCATAATCTGTTAGGTAACTAAAAATACCAAAGTTTAACATTTACCTATTCTATCGCTATCAAGATAGATGAATGGGTTAGCAACACAGAACATAGAACCTCTTTCTATGTTTTCTGGTTAGCAAGGACTCAGCCTGTACACCGGGCCAGGGCGGCGCCCCCGCCCGCCCACGCGGTCGTTCGCGGCGCTTCGCGGAAACATTACAATAATATCGGACATCTGCGGACTTCGCGCGAATCCATCTACATGCAGATCTATGTTTGTTTTGGAACTAAAAACAGACTTGAGTTTCAATGACATTGTTATGAACGCAAAGTTCAATAGTCTTCAGCCGATGAAATCCATACACATGACGTTATTTTACCAGCTCTGTGTAAAATCTGTATTTTTTCTTGCGGATGAAAAGCTGCTATTAGGTAGGTAGGTAAGGTTTGTGGACCACGGCTTGTTTAATCAATACGTAATAACCCTCAGCCCCGCCAGAATCAACAGAATCGATTCCAATCAGAAGTCAGGTCTGCGTCAGGTTTGCGCCGCGGCCGCCGATGCTGGCTAATGTGCTGGCTGGGACTGGCCCGAGCTCAGCTAAAGCAGCAAGTCTGAGACTCTTGTGAATACTCGTAGGCTCGTAGCTCGCAGTTTTTAATGTTGAGTACCTATTAGCCGTTCTTGAGACACAGTTCAAACAGCACTTTCACAGCACTTGACACCGATTTTAATAATGTGTAGCACTATGTGGGATATCGATTGACAATGACATATTATACCTAATAGTGATTAATACATACTCTATAACGTGGAACTTTCTTTTAAATAACATAATCACTAGGTACTTAAAAAAAACATAACACTAAATATTTAATTCACACAAATAATAGAGTTCTGAAGATGTGGTTTGGCTGTTTTCAGCCTGCTATAACGTCTATCGTCAGCAGGCCCTAGGCTGCGCGGTAAACTGCGCCCTGGGAGCGAGCGGCCGCGTCTAGACAAACTACACGTGCTTCGGAGAGCTAATAAAATTATACCCTTTCGCGCGTGTGAAGAAAGCTCTTCCCGCACCCACTCAATGTTACAAGGCTGTATCTAGTTCACAAGTGTGCCTTCTTTAACTCTAGGTTTATGGTTTATCCTTGACGTTCGTATTAGCACAGCAATAAAAGATTAATCGTCTAGAGCCGACCAGAATGAAATTTACGATAAATATACGACTTCACTTGAGCTGATCTATTAATAAGACTTGATATCGAGAAACATTCCGATCGATTTTGATTACGTATCTTGAGTAGGTACTTTATATCCAACAGATTAAGATACGAATAATACATTGTTTTGACGTATCATTGATCTTAGCCCTAATCTTAGTACTGCTTTAAGTAATACGATCAACTAAATCGATATAATCAAAAAGGCCATTAGACTACTTAATGTAACCTTTCTATGGAAAATGTCACATTAGATAACACATAAATACTGTCAATTAAAGAATATATTGGGTTATAAAGTAATCTAGCTGACGTAGTGCCTATATTATGTATTATTCTTTGTTCAAGTCTAATACTGCCGCAACGAACTCTACCGAATCTTCTAATCATTCACATTGTGCTTTCGATTAGAGATGAAACGGATAGTTGTTTGGCCGGATACCGGATATCCGGCCNTTGTATTATTAGTATTTGAGCTATTCTACAAAACGAATGTAAATTTATTAGTCTACGTCTATTAGTTTCGTCGTAATTGTTGAACAAAGATACCCCTTCCCAGCGGTTTTCATAGCGCACGCGACATGCGAAAATGCACTGCCTGAAAGATTCACACAACCTATTCCGATTACTATGGAAACCGCTGGGAAGGGGTATCTTTGTTCAACAATTACTTCGAAACTAATAGACGTAGACTAATAAATTTACATTCGTTTTGTAGAATAGCTCAAATACTAAAAATACAATGCTAATAAAACATACCTTAACGACCTGGTTTTTCTTGTGTTGGAAAATAACTGAAAAAGAAGTGAAAAAAGTAATGTTTTTTTCTTATTAAATCCATTCTTACTCCCATAAAATGTATGAAATTTGTGTCTGTTTTCTTCTTCTACTAATAGATAATTTTATTGGCTATCGCATGATATAAAATATTTGCATATTAATGTTAAGCTACCCACGCTTTCACTTGTTTTTTAAAGAAGAGGTGTAAACTAAAAATTTAAAACTTAAATCGATTTAATTTTTCAAGAAATGGGTCAGGCCCCAAATTTGAAGTATTTTTATCGATAAAATTGTCCCTAGATTTTGCCCTTAAAGTTTGATCACTACAAGCCCGGACACACTGTATTTTAAAGTACGTGGCTAAGGCAGAAAGGTTTGTTCACCTGAGAAAGAGCACCAAAGAAAGTGGAATTTTTAGTGTCCTCATTGCATCTCGGAACCGGCTTAGGAGCTTTCGTAGCCAAATTACGTAGCTGAATACGAAGTGGAAAGAAAAAAAACATTTCGAAGACCACCCAGGTGAACAAAGTGGAATAATCCAGCAGAAAGGCTAAAAAGGCTTACTTGCGTGAAATGCCTCTCGATGAATTGGTTGGCCTTCTGCTTGAGTTCGGCGCATGCATGCTGCTCAGCAAAGTTGGCGATTCCAATCGCGTTGGACGGATCCAGCTGGCGCTCCAGGAACGCGCAGCAAGCCTCGATCACGTTGGATATCTGGCGGCGGAACACTATATCATATTTAGTTTGCGACAATTACACTTCGAATACATTTTATTGGCAAAGTGACCGACATAGCTCGCAGAATTGCTAAAATTAAGTGGCAGTGGGCGGGGCACATAGCTCGCAGAGACGAAGGCTGTTGGGGCAGAAAAGTTCTCGAGTGGCGACCACGGGCTGGAAGCAGGCAGGCCTCCTACTAGGTGGACCGACAATCTGGTAAAGGTCGCGGAAAGAACCTGGATGCGGGCAGCGCAGAACCGTTAATTATGGAAAACCTTGGGGGAGGCCTTTGTCCAGCAGTCGACGTCATTTGGCTGAAACGACATTTTATTGGGTGCAGTCCCGTTCCCAGAGGAGCCATAAGGGGGAACACCAGGACTACCTTTTAATAGTACGGTATGACATAAGGCTGGATATGCATGAGAACTCGCTATAATAGGTGGTATAGCCTGACCAGGAACATAAAAACCCTGGCATAGAGGCGCGTCAATTGCATTTGATAGTGCAACACTGAGTACAGTCGTACCTGTGTTAAATTAATAGGCTAACTTTATGTATCAGGATTCAGGATTACGGGCTAATTTGATATTTTCATAAATTAACGAAAAAATATTATTATAGGTAACCTGGTTTAAATAAATTAAATGAAACCATCAATCGAGCTAGTAGGATGAATGCTCATGAACGCTTCAAACTCGATACTTCTTTCCCAATTCCATAAAATTAAACACTTAGAAAGTGACAAAAAACTTTAAAATAGGTAGTTGAAACAAACCACTGCTAATTTTCATAGTGGACTGTACTATACGATAAACATGTCAGTCAATTAGACAACCTTTGTTGGAAACATTATTCAATGAAAATATTGTCCGAACCCTTGGTATTTCTCTTCGACAAATACATTAACACATTGTGAACCACTTTTCTTTCACGACTATAAAAAGATTTCAGCAATTTCATTCACAAAATCAATTGCGCACATTTAAAATAAAGTATGTTTACACTTTGACAGCAATAGACTGACATGCAAGATGACATGTCAATGAAGTTTTTAGTTACTGTTGCCATTAAAATAAATTAGTACCATTAGTTTTCCGCAACATGGCGAGGGTTTTTATGTTCCTGGTCAGGCTATAATAGAGTATTTGACACCAACCAAATGACGTATTTTTATGGGCCGTCAATTCGATCTCGTTCTCAAGGGCAGGATATCAATGGTTGCTTACTTATCGGGCTATTAAGTTATATTGCCCTGAATGGCATGTATTATTTTTATTATTTACCTGTTCAAAAAGCATTCACTCAATATAATTATAATGCCATATTTAAATCAAATAGCCGGAAGTAAGTAAGTAGATAGGTTGCCGAAGTTCAGATATTTAAACGCGAGTTCATGAGTCCAAGGTTGACTGTAATAAATGTTGAATGTAATAAATAAACTAGCTGAGTCACCGGGGCTTTCCACTATCTCGAGGGAATGTGATCATTTCATTGCGGTACTGCGTATAACGGTAAATAATATGTATCATCGGCATGGATGGAAATGCTGAGTCAGTGAATTACATGACGAGAAAGGAAGGATAATCTTAACAACAATTACAACAACAAGAGTAGTTATAAAAATGAGTATATACTTAGCGTTCTTTGAATTAAAGAAAGAAATAAATTGACACAACTCCATAAATTCTAATAAACATTTTCATGGAAGTAGCGAAATAAATTGTTAATTTGTTACTTTTAATTCTAGTAGGTAATAGGTATACATTTATGTCACATTTCATTTTTGGTTGTCTATTCTGGTATGTATTATTGTATGTAAATGGAGCGGCAAGCATGGAGACTCCAATAACTTAAGTCATTTTACATGTGCGCCCGAATATTTTACGTCACGCTTCCAACAGTTGATATTTTTTTTTATGACAATTTTTTAAAATGCAGACCTTGCCCTTGTTTAGTTAGTTATCGTGCTTGACATTGCTTGCATGGCTTACAGCATAGTCAACTTACTTATCGTGTAGCATGACTGTTTGAAAAAAAACAACTGATAAGTAAAAATTAACTATCTAACGATTAGATTCTAATCGAATGAAAGAAGCTACAACAGCAAACACGGTAAATCTATGTTCAAAGTTCAACGGTGACGCCTAGTTTAATAGTTTATTCGTTATCTTTACATAGTAATAATAATATTCTTTATCTTTACATAGTATAAACATCTAATACCTAAACGCGCTGCTGTCATTGGATAATTAACGAGATTTACGTCACATATTTAACACAAAAATTAACGATTCATATCTATGTACATATTCAGAAATATTCAGAATCCGTGTGTATAATTTCATTCATGGAAAAAAATATCCTTTAAGTTTAACTATTACCGAAACACAAGTTCTATTCTGTCTGAGTTTCGGATATCTTTCTATCAACGCTGTGCGTTCGATTTGCTGCTTCATTAAAGCAAACATCGTTTGTGAATACGGGTTACACTTGGACTACTTGTCCAAAGCAATGACAAATCAAAAAATTCTCATGTCATTAACAAAATATTAGAAGTATTGTTGAATTTGACAAGCTGCCCCTACCTGGAACATAGTGGCGGCGGGCAGGAGTTGGCAGACCGTCACCTCCGTGATCCGCACTTTGCCGGTGTACATGAAGTAGACGAGCCACGCCATCGCTGATGGACAGACGCCCTGGAGTCGGACCCTGGACATCTCGCTTTCCTTGAGCCCGCTCGTGAACATTGCCTGGGGATGGATAGTGAAAATCAGTCGAGCAGAGAAGATATTGTGGTTTTTTATTTGATGCTAGTTTTTCATTTCTTTGAGCCCGCTTGTGAACATTCTCTGTTGTGATAGAGAAAATCAGTCGTGTAGAGAAGACATGATTTTTGATTTGATGCTAGTTTTTCAAGAAGCATTGTGCATTGAAGTGTGTTCATTTTAATAGTTGACTCATTTTCGTCAGATTCAATTTAAGTATTGCATCGCTGCTACTTTTTTTTGTACAAAATTAACTTCTGCATACATGAAATGATCACGAACTTGAATCTGTCTCGAATGTAACTTTCTAGAAAGGCTGGCCTGTAGCGTTACCGGGTAATATCGCCTAGAGTGGCGGGTTATAGGATTACGTTTTGGTATTAAGTTTCTCCGTTTTAACTAGTCCGCTTAGCTTAGGAAAAACACCTGATAATTTGAATAGTTAACAATGATAGGTACTATAGTTAGGGTAAACAATGATTCCAATTAGTATGTTATGCATGTTTATTTCCTTCTTATCCTAATACTGCGGTAGATTGGAATTAATTAAAAAACCTTACCTTAAAATATGGACTGCCGGCTGCTAGCACAACTTTGTGGACATGAAAAAGCTCGTTCCCGACTTCTAGCACGACGTCTGTGAGCATGTGGTGCGACCTCATTGTGAACATCATCTGTCGACAACATAATTATTTAGCAACTTCGATTTAAGTTTATTATAAAATTAAAACTCAATTTCTGACCACGATATTTTAAAAGTCATTCTTTTCTCTGTGCCAGTCAAGTCGACTAATTAAAATAATGGCCCTTTACATGTCTTTTGGTATGTCTAGTAATGCTTCGAAACAAACAATGCTTTCGTTGCAAACTCTTAAAAGAACTACAATCTACTTCGGCACTCATTAGCATTTTATGTGCATCTCCTAGAAAGGAAAATGTTTTTTTCATCTTTATAATTCAACTCGGACTCGTATCCCCTCAAAAGCTTATTCATAATCTAGTCTGAGATTGGATGGGTTTTCCAACCAAACATATTTTTTTAAGATCGATCAGAAGTTTGAATGTAGGTGTAGATCTGTAGATTTATATTTGGAAGAAAACTTAAGCGTCATTTCAGAACACAGGACTCAATCTTCATTTCGGAACACCTCCAAAAGTATTAACATAAACTCGTGTACCTATGTAATGTTTTGTATTAGGTACTTAGGCACAATAACAGTTTTTGCGGAACGTTTATGTAGACACTGTAGGCAGGTACCTAATAGGTGTTACAAAAACTTAGAACAAAATCGTTTTGTAGAAGTAGGTGACATTAACAAGTTCATCAATATTAACTAGGTAATACAGAACGTCCTTGTCATTGTCTGGCCATTAAAGTAATGAGAAATACATATTCCGAATTTTGGACTGCACATGATTATGTGGAGTGAAAAAAAAACCGTTTTGTTGTATCAGTTTTCTTAATCTTGTATACTGAGTGGAATGATAATATACATTATATGTACCTATCCTAAGTATGAAAAACTATCAATTAGTAGATTTTAATGACGTTTGTTTAGTTTGCAGATATGATGTAGGTACAGGAAGTAAAGAATGCTAAACGATATTGTATTCGATACGATGAATCAACGTTCAGCATATGTAATTTATAAAACGTGTCATGAATGCACATAATGCCAAGCCAAGTGTATTATTTTTAATTTTAATGAATTAGAATACATTATTATGTATTTAATTAAAAAGCGAGAGTAGTAAAGAGCTTTTAAGAACGTTACGTACATTATAGTATGGAGAGTTGTTTAGTAGCCTGTCCTATACTTATTACACCACTGGGAAAAGTCCAATGCTCTTTGAAAAAAAAAAGTTACATGATGATTGATGACTAATTAAAACAGCTTTTATAGACAGGCCCTTGAAATAAAAGTAAATACCATTTATTTTTCATTTTCTTAATTTGCATGTGTTTTTTTTTAAATCAATGACCAAGAAAAACCTGCTTATGATAACAACGTCACCTCACACAAGTACAAAGGAACGTTATCTTTGTAATGTTATACATGACTTATAAAAATTTAAAAATTCTGGTGTATTGCTAACTAGAGATGAAACGGATAGTTGTTTGGCCGGATACCGGATACCGGATATCCGGCCAGCTGCTAGGCCGGATAGCCGGATATCCGGCGGCCGGATAGTTGGCCCATTGTCTCGTTGGCTCGTTGCATGTTGTGACGAGTTTAGCGCCGCACAGGTGCTTGAAACGCGATCAGTGGACTAGTCCCACTTTTCGAAAATCGAACAAGTCCGAATAGAATGTCAAATTTTGCCACTTGTCTAGGGGGAAGAACAATTCGGGCTATTTCGGTTGCCTTCGTGAGTGTGATTGAATAGCGAAAATTAAATTAGTTTACTAGCTGCATAAATCTGACTGAACTGCATCATGACATCAGATCATCATCAGTGAAAAAAAGATCGCCTATTTTATTTGGCAATATTTCGACTTATATCCCGACCAGGAACATAAAAACCCTCGCCATGTTGCGGAAAACTAATGGTACTAATTTCTTTTAATGGCAACAGTAACTGAAAACTTCATTGACATGTCACCTGGCATGTCAATAATTAAACTGTCTATTGCTGTCAAAGTGTAAACAAACTTTATTTAAATGTGTGCAATTGATTTTGTGAATTAAATTGCTAAAAATTTTTTATAGTCGTGAAAGAAAAGTGGTTCACAATGTGTTAAAGTATTTGTCGAAGAGAAATACTAAGGGTTCGGACAATATTTTCATTGAATAATGTTTCCGAGAAAGGTTGTCAAATTGACTGACATGTATATTGTATTGTACAGTCCACTATAAAAATTAGCTGTGGTTTGTTTCAACTACCTATTTTAAAGTTTTTTGTCACTTTTTAAGTGTTGAATTTTATGGAATTGTAAAAGAAGTACCGAGTTTGAAGCGGCCATGAGCAGACATTGCAGTTGAATATTCAAGTTCTGAATTTGATTATTGATGAATAATAAAATAAATCCTACTAACTCGATTAATTGTTTCATTTAATTTATTTAAACCAGGTTACCTATAATAATAATCTTTAATCGTTAATTTATGAAAATATCAAATTAGCCCGTAATCCTGAATCCTGATAAAGTTAGCCTATTAATTTAACACAGGTACGACTGTACTCAGTGTTGCACTATCAAATGCAATTGACGCGCCTCTATGCCAGGGTTTTTATGTTCCTGGTCGGGCTATAACAGATATTTACTATTTATGTATTTGTCATTAGAGTGAATAGCCCAGAAAAAGAAATTAGCTTTTTTAAAGGCCTTAATATGACTTTTTGTAACTTTTTGGACTTTAAATAAAAGCCGTCATTATTATAAGCCATTTTATTGATGTTTACTTCAAAGATTAATGTGAAATACATTTTATAAATAGGAAATTGTCTTAGTTTTTAATATCCGGTATCCGGCCGGATAGTGAGTTACTATCCGGTATCCGGCCGGATAGTAAATTTAGGCCGGATATCCGGCCTACCGGATAGTTACCGGATATCCGTTTCATCTCTATTGCTAACTACGTCACGTCATTGTATTTCAATACTAATACCATTTCGTCTCATGGATCACTTTAACAATTGTTTTAAAGTTTTAAGATTCCTTTGTGATGTGACGTCATTTTGACTCTACATCCTTTTATTTTATTAATGTTCTTTTCAGAAAATAATATCCGTACTCAGTAAGTACCTACAGACAGTTTTAAATACTTCTAAAGTTCTAACTATGGTGCCCATGACTAAAAATTCTTTATTTTGGTCCTATCCTAAATATTAAAATAACTAGCTGACCCGGCGAACTTTGTTCCGCCTTAATGGCAATAAATAAGCAGACTTTTTTTTATTTCGAACGGGATAAAAAGTATCCTATGTCCTTCTCCTGGCTCTAAACTACCTCCCTGACAATTTTCAGCTAAATCGGTTCAGCCGTTCTTGAGTTATAAGTGGAGTAACTAACACGACTTTCTTTTATATATATAGATGTACGTAGGTATGATGCCAAACAAAAACACAACAAACAACAACAAAAATTTAAATTCATGCCACACATCGTTATTGTTATCTGACAACCTGCTGTCGTCATTTATGTATTTTTCTCGTACACGAGTTTGGTTGGTTTGTTTTCATTTAACACTAGCTTTGTCCCATAACATGGGTTTGCTCATCTATTATCAAAATGTAGAGAAGCAAAGCAAAACTTACACATTTCGTAAAATACATAAACAAAATTGATAACAAATCAATGCTTAACTGAATAAACCCATACCAAAAAGGACCTTTGTGAAGGCGAGCGCGCAAAAACAGACAAAACAAATGTTTACGTTTTTAATATACACGTTATGTAATAGAGCTGATTATCAGATTAGATGCAAAGCGTAATCGTTTGAAGCTAAAACGTCACGCATTGTTATGAACAATATTCAGCTCGTACATACATAAATGAGCTTCATTATAAATTATTCAGATTTTAGAAAGATCAAAACTTTTAACTGTACTTTATGCTAAAAACTCTATTTCCATTTCTTTTAACCTTTGAGAGTAGGCAATTAATAGCTTCCGAATGTCGATCCGAATCTGTGAAAATACGGCCCCCAGTTGTCGTAGTAGGTGTCGTAGTATACGCATGATAGTATCGATTTCCGTCATCCGATTCTCTAGTTCAGCGGTTCCCAAATGGTGGTCCGCGGAACCCTGGGGTTCCGTGGAAAGGCCGCAAGGGTTCCGTAAAAAATATTAATCCACGTTTCGTGACCGACGTTGTTCGCGCGCACCGACTTGTTTAAGCACAAGGGAGGGGCAGGGCGTGCGGGCGGAGTAGTACGGGGGTTCCGCTAGGAAAAGTATAATCAATTAGGGTTCCTTGCCAAAGAAAAATTGGGAAACCCTGCTCTAGTTTTCTAAATTCAGTTTTTTACGGATTCGGATTTCAGAGTGCGAAACTGCTCTTAAGTAAGGGCTTCTGTGTTGAAAATGTTTTTACCAAGTAAGGACATAAACATTTTCGAACATTGGTGGACAAAAATGTATTGTGTCAAATGCTCACGCTGTGGGAGTTCTTACCTTCTTTTGTCCCTAAGAAACGATACAGGAATGTTTCAATATGAATTTACATGAAGAAAAATGCCTGTAGATGCAAAAGGCAGTGTCTATATTTACAATGAATTCATAGGTTGGTAAATATTTAAAACTTATGCTTATATTACATGAGTATATTTTTTTACTATTATTCATTTAGAGATAAGAAAATGCAATGTCACGCCGACTGGCAGTTTTGTAATGGACTAATGGCATCGACTATTTATAGTTAGCTTACCATAAGGTGAGAATTTACATTGTGAGAATTTGGAAACATTTTTGGAGAACTATTTATTTATTTATTAATTAACCATTACGTGATTGAGTTTTTGGAATGACTTCTGCAGAGTGTTAGGTAAATGGGTATTATGAGCCGACACTAGCCCATGTTAACATGTGCATATAATTGGTATGGTGAAGTCAGAAAATTGATATCATCATTTTAATTATTTTAATTTTCATACAAATCTGATTTTATAAATTTTATTTTGTATGAACAACAAAGTAGGAAGGCGCATCGGACAAGCTTGGGCGGCATTCGGCGCAAACAGCCATGTTCTACGCTCTAAGAAAGTTGCTCAACACCTAAAGACCAAGATCTTCAACCAGTGTGTACTGCCGGTCTTCGTGTATGGGATGGAGACCACGACGCTGACAGAAAAGTCTGCTGAGAGACTCCGAGTCGCACAACGAGCAATGGAAAGACAGATGCTTGGCGTTTCCCTACAAGATCACAAAAGGAACGAGTGGATCAGAGAAAAGACGGGGGTTAGCGACGTGGTAGAAGTGATTGAGAGCCGTAAATGGAGATGGGCAGGGCACATTGCACAGATGAACCAGGATCGCTGGGCCAGAAAGACCCTGGAGTGGAGACCCCGCAACAACACCCGCGGCAGGGGAAGACCGCCTAAACGGTGGACAGACGATATCCGGCAACAGGCTGGAGTGAACTGGATGCGTGTGGCCAGGGACAGAAGTCGGTGGAGGGTTGAAGAGGAGGCCTATGTTCGAAGGCGAACCCAAAGGCTGCTATAGATAGATAGATGAACATTAAAAAAATTAAAATGATGATATCAAATTTCTGACTTCACCATACCATTTATATGCATATTATTATGTTAACATGGGCTAGTGTCTGCTCATAATATACCCATTTACCTAACACCCTGGACCCTGTATAAACACTATTCTACGAAATTATTAATAGATTTTGATGACTTGAAAGTACGGAGCTAAGAGCTATGTTTGGACGTTTCTTACGTATCAGCTTTTTGTTCCTTCAAAAAGTTCCTCTGCTAAAGTGCTATCGACCAATGAAATTCATCATTAATTCCGTCCGCGACAATCGTTGAGAGCAGAAGTGTCGAAGCCTTGTGTGAAAATAGTTAAAATACGCACACGGAATAATAACTGCATTAGTGAGTGATTTTAAGTGCATAAGGGTGAATATCGCTCCCAATAACAAACACCGTTACGCATCGTTCGTGTGAGACGACATTCAAAGTGTATAGTGCTTTCCTTGTTTCGCACCGCATCTACCGGTCGCGTCAGCGGAGTGCCCTTCCACACCTCCTCCGGTTAAAGGATAGAAGCATAGTTTTGGCTTTATCACACCTGTATACGAGCTGCGCACACTCACAATGTCCCTCCAACACACACCTCCAAACAAATTCGCCTCAGACACAAACATACCTACATCGGTGTGCCTGGAAGATGATGCCTTCATACTAAGTGTACGCAAACGTAAAAAACAACCCGACAGTGACGACACACAGGAGAGGTTAAGCAAACAGCTTTCAGAGCAGGAATCCAAAATTACAGACTGCATAACGGCAGCAGTGAACTCCGCGTTGGAGAGAGAGATGTCTAAGGTTTCGACTTTATTAACAGAAATCAATGCCAACGTCATGAAACTGACCACCGATAACATCTCAATCAACAAAACCCTCTCGGAAACTAACAACAGACTGAGCGAAATGGAGAAATACTTGAACTTTTCTTCGGACCGCCAGGATTCATTTGAAAGTCGCCTAAAGGTTATAGAGGAGAAGAACACTAGTACGACTGGGCTGGAAAATCAAATTATAACACTTGAAAACCAGATGTCAAGATTGGAGCAACAGGCCAGACAGTGTAATATTGAAATAGCTAACTTGCCCGAGCGGCGTGGAGAAAACCTTATTAGCATCCTTGAAAACCTGGGTGACGTCATCAAACAGCCGATCCGAGCCTGTGACATCGTTGCCGTCCACCGTGTGCCACATGCTGACTCGGGCAATCGCTTTCCTAAGAATGTCATAGCTAAATTCACCAATAGGACCCTCCGCGACAACATAATCTCGGCATACCGCTCCACAAAGGGGCTGGACTCGAGTAAACTTTCAATGAGCGGTACTCCAGCTAGAATTTACATCAACGAGCACCTTACTCTAAACAATAAAATATTGTTTCGACAGTGCCGGGAGGCAGCAAAAAAGGAAGGATTTAAATACGTCTGGGTCAAACACGGCAGCATCCTGGTGCGCAAGTCGGATACCTCCCCGGTCTCCTCCATTCGGTCAATCGCTGACATCAGTAAAATTAAGTAATTACCGTGATAAGTGCAAAAAATATGTGTGTAACACTGAGTACAAAGCAGCATATAATAATAATATAATGTGTTCTTGTGGGTACGTACATACGATAACTAAAAGCAGAGTAACCTTCTATCCCGTGTTATGTAGTGTGTGGACGAGCGATGGCCAATTAAATCAAGTGTTTTTAAATGGTCAGAAGACCTATAGTTTTCTAGTTCTAGTTTGCCTGTTGTCTGTGCTAAGAAAATTACTTTGCGATTACTCTCTATACTGTAAACTAACCAAACAAAATTTGCAATGCAATGTAATAATGATTGGAAGTGCAGACGTTATAAATATTAATTTTACAATTTCTAATCTCGAGTGTTCAAGTAAAGCTGTTTTTTTGATGGGGTTCATACATAAATATGTGTGTGAAGCAATGCAATGTGTAATCAACTGTTTAATATTTTTACATGGTACATATTATCATATAATATATTATGTAATAGTGGTTGGAAGTGTAGACGTTATAAATATCAATTTAACTATTTCTAATTTCAAGTACTCAATTATAACTGTATGTTTTTTTGTGGAGTTCATACTCAAATATGCCTCTGAAGCAATGCAATCTGTAATCATCTTTTTACTCTCTTTACTTTATACGTATTACTGTATAATTGCTTCACTTCTAAGTAGCACTTCGATAACTTTAATTGAGTACCTATCAGGTAACGGTGTGGCAATGGTTTCATGTCGTTTGTGTTGTGCCATTCTTGATGTTGTTCTGAAGGGTTTCAGATGGACACACATAGAAATAAAGCAATCATATTATAGTTCGCATGAGTTCTTTATTATTTACTACCTATCTACCTACACATATTTCATAAAAATAACAATAACAAATACTACACAAATAACTTCAAACTTTAATGTATTTATACTTTTATATCTCAGTCTCGGCCTCAAAATATGGGTACAATATGAATCATACAACATCGTACCGCAACTCGTACGAAACAAACCTATAAACATAATATATAACAGTTCACTATTTCATATACCAAGCTTGTATACATGCTTAAGTTTCTCTCGATGGATAAGTTAACGTTATCGTTATACTATCAAAATTGTCGTGGACTGCGCACAAAATTGCATACCCTGTACATGAATATTCTGGCCCATGATTATGATATCATTGTCTTGACCGAGACTTGGCTACATAAACACATTTCTGATAGTGAATTCATAGACCCGCGATATCGGGTGATCCGGCGCGACAGAGACCGCGTTAGTAGCGGCCGGCGGGATGGCGGTGGGGTGCTCGTGGCGGTCCGGCGCGAGCTCTGTGTAACGACGGCGCGCAGTGCGCGCGGACCCGGCGCGGGCGCCCAGCCGAATGCTGACCATGCTGGGTCCTACTCCTCTCTTGTCGACCATGTTTTGATTGAACTGCGGTCTAACAACTACTGTTGTATAGTCAGCGCAGTATATATTCCGCCAAACCTGCATTCTGACGTATATTTAGAACATTTTAATTACCTTTCCGAAATATTACAGAGTGGAGACTTTGATGAGTACATTTTGATAGGTGATTACAATTTACCCACAGTCCAATGGCAGGACTGTGGAAACTATCTAGTACCAATAGCTACACCCACTTGTAGTACTCCAAATAAACTTTTTGTTAACTTTATGTCCCCATTAAATGGCTTTCAAATAAATAAATGTAAGAATATCAGAAATAGACTACTGGACCTTTTAATAACAAATATCGGGGAATTCACAACCTCACGAGCACCAATACCATTCGTGCAATCTGATGAAAATCACCCTCCATTTTTTGGACTCTTGACCATTAATAAAAACGTTTCATCCCTCATATGCAAACCTAGAGTAGAACATAACTTTAAAAAGGGAAACTATGATTCCTTAAACAAAGACTTAAGCAGTATAAACTGGGATGAGTTATTATCAGCTTGCAATGCAAACAGTGCAGCTTGCTTATTTTACGAAAAAATATATGACCTAATAAAAACTCATATACCTACCAGAATTATCAAATCTTCTCGATACCCCAAATGGTTCTCCAGGGCCCTTATTCATATCTTTAAAAACAAAACCAACGCTTGGATTAAGTGGAAGAAGTCTAATAAACGAAGTGACTACGAAGTGTTTTCTATGTACAGGGCCAGATTTAAATTGGAATCTAAAAAATGTTACAGATCTTACATGGACTCTGTGGAGAACAGTATACTCGGTAATATTAAGTTTTTCTGGACATACGTCAATAATAACAAGGCAACAGCGGACATACCTGATAGACTTACATACGACAACGAATATGCGGATAATCCCAGTGATGTCTGTCGTTTGTTCTCAGATTTCTTTCAGTCAGTCTTTGAACCATCTTTAGTTCCAGATGACTATGACATTGACGCTCTTCCGGACACAAATCACGACTCAGACTTACTACTAAGCAACATTACTCTCACAAGTGAGGATGTATTAAGAGAACTCAGCAACATTGATGCCACAAAGGGCTCTGGTGTTGATAACATACCGCCCATTTTCTTGAAACTGACAGCCAAAGCAATATGCTATCCTGTTCAATGTATCTTTAACAAATGCCTTAAAGAAGGTGTTTTTCCGATTATCTGGAAGGCTGCTCGTATCGTACCAGTATTCAAAGGAGTAGATAAAAGCAATGTAGAGAATTATCGTCCCATATCTATCCTGTGCGCTCTGTCGAAAGTCTTTGAGAGACTAGTTCACAATAGCATCTACCCTTCCCTACATAACATTATTATTGAACAGCAACACGGTTTTGTAAAACGTAGATCAACTAGTACAAATCTTTTAATCTATGCTTCGTATATTTTTGAGAGCATAGACGCCAATAAAAGAACGGATAGTATCTACACTGACTTCCGGAAGGCTTTCGACAGAGTCGACCACAAAATTTTATTGGACAAACTCGCATACAACGGCATTCGTGGGGATCTCTGGCGATGGTTTAAATCTTATATAACTAATCGCACCCAGAAAGTAGTTGTGCGTGGGCATGAATCAGAGTTTGTTCCAATTACTTCAGGAGTGCCGCAAGGCTCTATTCTTGGACCTCTGTTGTTCATTCTATTCATTAATGATGTTCATCACTGTTTTAGATTTTGCAGTTTCCTCTTGTATGCCGATGACCTAAAAATTTATAGCACTGTGGAGAGCGATGATGATCATTTGAGATTTCAAGCTGATCTAGACCGCTTCTCTAACTATTGCGTCATAAATAAATTAAAATTAAGTCTCAATAAATGTAAAGCTATAACATTCACCAAAAAAAGAATAACATATAACTATAAATACAGCTTATCTGGTTTGCAACTTGAATCTGTTGAATCTATAAAAGACCTAGGAATCATCCTAGATTCTAAATTAACTCTTGATACTCACATTTATAATATAATTAATAACGCCTTCAGAATGTATGGTTTTGTAATGCGTAGAACTGAACATTTTCTAAAACCATCTACATATATATTTTTGTATAAAACACTAATTCGATCACAACTTGAGTATGCTGTGTCTATCTGGAATCCCTTCTATAATAAATATGTTTTGGCCCTCGAAAGAATCCAAAAAAAGTTCCTTCGTTCTTTACACTACCGATTCTCTCGTAGATACTTGTCATACCAACAGCTTCTTGAAAAATATCATCTTCTCAGTCTAAGGCACAGACGCATGCAACTTGAGGCTACATTGTTATATGACTTGTGTCACAACAGATACGATTGCGCCCCACTAATTGGTAAACTATGTTATAAGGTACCCACAAGAGCACACTGCCGTGCGCCTTGTCGATTGTTTGAGACTTCTCGTACACGAACAAATGCTGGAAAACGATCACCCCTGTTTCGTCTTGTACAAAATTATAACGAGAGCTTTCACTCAGTCGATATTATTGCGGCTCAACCAGGTGCATTCAGAAAAATGATATTGCTCACATTGCAGGACAGTGCTATTTGAACCAACACAAATTTATAAGTACACTACCTCTCAACGAAATGTGTAATGATTTTGTTTAATAAATCTGTGGTAAACGGTGTTGGTGACAAATGGACACTTACTATTGTAACGTATACTTATTTGTATAATTTCTCGTTTGTCACTGTTTGTTTACCCCAATAAAAAAAAAAAAAAAAAAAAAAAAAAAAAAAAAAAAATCATTCAGATTTTCTGACGCGCCATGCTTGTTTCTATTTTTTAGTAAATTTCGCACCCAGATTGTGGGCCCTGTGGCACGCGTTCCAGAAATCTCTCGCACTCCGCATGCGGGCGGATCCTATCGACTAGTGAAATTGCGCCATAAGGCTGAGTTCCACCATCTTACTTTAATTTTTAAACGTCAATGTCAAACTCCATACAAAATGCACCGGTTAATGTTGTAGTTAAAGTAAGTTGGTCCAACTCAGATAATGTTGTAATATCTAAGATAATGTTGCTAGCTAGCCAATATTACTTCTATGTTTAAACGACACCGATAAGTAATTTAATTTATATCGACAATTAGTATGTAACCCATGTAAAGAAACATTTCTCAGACCTATTCAAATCATAATACCGCGCTAATTAAATTATCAAACTAAATTAGGTACTTTACGACTCTGCTATAAAAATGCTTGTTGATTCTTGGGCGGAAAAGTTTTTAATTAATTCTACGATTTCTTACGTTGCTTATCATGAAATAATTCCATCGTTAGGTAAGAGTTTACATATTTTATTTTATAAAATGAAATTTTATTAAAATACGAATGTTATTGTAGACATCGTTCGAAGGCTTTTCAAAGACGGGAGTTACTCGTAGTTCCCAAAAATACACAAACTATTGAAGATTTTAATTATTATAATATCTGTTTAAACTGTGTTATTGTTTTTAATATAAATTAATCAAAATGTAAATATCACAATGCCTTCAAAAGTTAGGTTATTTGTGAAATGTTATCTGTATCAACACGCTGGGGGTTAAATAATGAATTGTTGCAGATTTTATGTAGGCTTAATAATGACTATCATTATGACCAGCACAATTTTTTTTGGTTGTTATCAGCACATGAACTTGTAAAATAGGTGTTCGATGTCTAAATCGATCAAGTCTACCGGTAAAATATAACAAGTTTGTTATTGCGATTTGCAAGATACTATTAATTGCTTAATTAATGTACAAAGCTTGCTTGAGTTTTGTTAATAATCCGGTTTACTTTACAGTTTATAAATTTAGCAAAAATGAAAAATGTATTTTCTCTAATATTATAAATTCGGTTTTGGGAACCTCTAGGCACCTTTTTACATTTCACTGTCTTGAAAGAAATAAAAAAAATCATAAAAAATAGTTAAAAACAAGATTTCTCGCTTGAATACAATTACTGAAGCAGTGAGTGAATCAGCCAGTGACTAACCTGGTGAACAACTAGAGTAGTCGCATGCGCTGCAAGCATAATGTTGTGGGTTCAAGTCCTAGCTGAGGCAGTCAGAATTTTCATGCGAAAGATTTTGATTGAGTTAAATTTGGCAATTTATTTGCAAAAAAATAACTGATTAAAAGTATGAAATAGTGATGAGTCATCAGTTAAAAGTCACAGAATTTACTCCGAAAAATACGTCAGTAATCGTAAACATTTGCAAGTGCGTAAATTGTTTGTCTGATTATCGAGATATCGAGATACTAGTTACCGGCAGATGAATTTTGGTCCTGATAGGCAATACAAATACGTAGCTGCGTAGAATATTTATTTGAATGTCTGTCTTACGGTTTCATCTTGACTATAAATACGGTGCTTATCTGAGAGGATGGTTTTACTTATATACAAGATTTAACTACTAGATCGATTAATAATCATACTCGAATTATCTTAGTTTTACATCAGAATAACGCTTTTTATTTCTGCGTTAGACTCCCTATAGACTACAGACTTTTAGTTGGCCAATATTTGGGCTACGTTTTAATTTGTATGAAGAATCGGCCGATACCAAATCGGTGTAATGTGCGCACTTTCTACATCTCCTTAACAGCTCGACCCAACTATCGGCACACTAAAAGTTGGTGGTCTGCGCCTAGGCTTTACCAATACGGCTGCTTTTAAAACTAACAAACTATTTTTTCTGTGTAGTTCCGTTAGCGAATCGAATCAATTCAACCTCTATGATGAGTTCCACCAGTTCATTACATATTCAACTAGGTATTTCAATTACCAACCAGTTTATGTATTACGTGATTGGATCAATTATAATAATTATTATGCCTGAGCTTAGTTATTATCACCAATCAAGTCAAGGAATGCATTTATACAATACAACCTACTAGTACCTATTTGCCCGCAACTTCGTCCGTGTAGATTTAGAGTATTCCCTTTGATTTAGAAAATGCTTTCTATCATAAGTTTAAGGAGCTTTATGCCTGTTTATTTGGATAAATACTTGTGTGAAATTTGATAGAATGACTAGCAGTTTTTTGTTTGCGCGGCAACCTTTCACAAAGTCCAAACTAACGAGCGTCAGTTAGATAGTCTCGAATTCGACAGGGCAAGGTACAAAATTATATTTTATTTCTCAGCATTAAGTCCTCCTTCTGATAAGGGTTAGGGTACTGGAATAGACAACGAATCCTACTGTCGGGTTAAACATCAGAGAATAGATAAGAGCTCAGTGCTCAGATTTAAAGGTCCCTGAAAGTTTTGGCAAATGCTAGAAGAGTGGTAGAATTTTTTTATATAAATTATGATTCTTAGTGTTTAAAAGAAAGCTTTGTGCCAAATTTCACGTCTTATTTCTTTCAGTTTGATACGCTGATGATAAGTCAGGTTTCTTCTGGCTCCTTTAAAATATTTACCCGTTTGGACTTTAACACGATGACTAGCACTTTTGTAAATTCTTGCAAAGTCCAAATTTAACGAGTGACAGTCAGATTGTCCGAAAACATTAGGTACAAGTTCCATTTCATTTCTCAGACTACAATGCGAAAGTCATTTTGTCTCGAACGCAAATCGGTTGATTAGACTTGGATGGAGGATCCATCTGATAGGAGTAGGGATTTAGGAAGCAAAGAGAATTTCAAGTTAAACATGAAAGGAGGAGATGCTAAGAGGTCTTGGCAGAGGACTACCTATCTCATAGGGAAAGAAGGACGAATGGCAAAGAGATCGGGTGTTAAGTATTAAGCTAAACACTGTAGCATCATACGTGTTGTAGTTCGTGTTATTAAATAGTAGTCGATGACCTGCACCTACCTTCATGAAGTCGGTGATGTAGTTGCCCATGCAGAAGGTCATGTCGCCGATTTCGTTGGAGCAGGTGCCCATGGCGCCTTCGAGGAGCGTCTCAGTCATGGGGGGCATGTCATCCAGCGCGTTTCCTCGGTATACGTCATCGTCAGTATCCATGTCCAGGCCTGCCAATAGAAGATTCAGATTCAGATTTTTATTGGAAGAAACAAAATAATGATGGTACAGAACAGGTAAGGCCCGGTTTCCACAAAGGCGAGGACGAATTTTTCTATAGAATTTGACAGCGGTGTTGTGCGGTTGTGCGGAGCGGAAAGATGTGGAAATAATTAAATTGATTGTTTATTCAAAACATACTCCCTGAAAGGGCACACGTGTGTAGGTATTCATTATCATTTGTGACTATGAAAAAAGCCGTGTGGTAGACAGAGAAAGAACCACTACAGCTTTCCATGGATGAAGTAAGAGCATGCGGATATACAGCGGGGGGAGGGGGGAGGAGGGGACGCCCCTTTGTGGGACGGACCATTTAGAAGCAGCTCCAAAAATTTCAATTGACCTATTTAGACAAAGTTGCAACATGATCATGACATGCAGTAAAGGAGGTTAATGTAATGCAGATGGATTACATTTTATAACACCTTAAAGTCATATAATCTCACTTATCAATTTGTTTTATTTTATTGTTTGTCATTATGATTGTCTAATTGTAATAGGTAGTCCTTATTTAAATTATTTAATATTAAAAAGAGGGCTTGATTCAGGGATTTACTGGTAACCTAACTACCTTTATTTGTCATTAGACATTAGGTATAATGCAAGATCAAATCCAAATTTTTTAACTGGTGTCCAAAACACTAACTATGCAAAAACATTTTTTCAAAATTAATTTTTAACTTTTTAAAAATAATTTCAACTATTTTATTACCATCATCATGGCTATACAGTGGTGCAGCGTCAGCATTACTCAGTTTCATCCTGTTTACAAACACTTCAAACACTACACTTTCAAACTAAAACTTTTGCACAAAACTTGCAGCACTATCACAGTAAACTGAGATCATATTATAATCACAACATTGTGTTAAAAAAATGCAGTAGAATACCGCCGGTAATCACAACACTAATAATAAAAATAATAAATAAACAAAAATGATTTGCGATAGCTAGGCGACTGTCGCGCGCGCCTTCGCGGTTTGAGTGTTGAATAAAGAGAATAATAATTATTGAATGGCTGAGCCTCGTACGCCTCTCGACCGCCGGCCGGCCTCTGACGCGGAATGACGCAGCAAAAACCAAACCACAATACCATGAGAATGTGACCTACAACATAATAGTGATTATCGAAGTGACAATATACATTATACATATTTGCACACCTACTTCTCGTGTCATTATTACAGACTTGTGACAAAAAAGTAAAAGTATCACCGAATTTAATTGATAGCAAAGTTACTGGGTAGCTAAGTAATGCCCGGATTGTTCTATTGTTTTGTATACTATTTTTTTGTATTCTCAGATATTTATTAAAAAAAAAACTGGCAAAATAAAGATTTCATTGTTGTCAGGGGTTCATAAATGTATTTGATTGTTAAACAGAAAACAAATAGTTGTTGGATTCTTTCTAGAAAAAAATGTTATAAATATAAATTTGTATTAATGCAAAAACTAATTAATTGAAATATATACCTTCAAGTAAGGTAAATAATAACCATCAATTAATAAATAGACAACACAAACATACGAATGCTAACAATGTTTTGTTACTGTTTAACAGTAGTATTGTAAAAGCTATTTATATATGTTTTTAGTATATAGTTGCAAGAGGATATTAAGTTAAAGATAATACTTTATTGGTATTAATTTATCTGTGTCCTGCAAATTTTCATAAATCTACAATCCTTCACTTTCCTCTTCTATCTTTCCAAACCTTAAAATGCAATTATAAAATGTTTGTTTCGTTTTTATTATATTTTTAAATATCTAGAGGGTGCATAAAAGTAATGTACCTCCTACCTACTTTAAAAATATAAATAATACTTTTCTTTGACTTTGGTAAGGGATTGATTAGCTATTATTTTATGTTGAGGACTGAATAGGCCTCCTTTGATATATTTCATGTTATGACCTCAAAAAGATAAGCATGGTTACTAAATAATAACAAATACCTACATCATAAAGTTTAAAGAGATGCATGTTTGATCAGAAAGCACATAATTGTTTTATCTAATATTTGATCAATAACCAATAATAGCAACCGACTTGTATTATTTCCTAGCAAATAATATAAGTTGGTAAAAAACAAACTTTTATAGCTATGGTCTTACCTTCAATAATTATTACTGTCCAACGTGGAATTTATGCACTAACTTTCTTCGAGAGGGCTTTTAGGGGCCCCTACTTTTATATAACTATTAGAGAACGACAAGAACAATTTTTTTATATGCTTTTGCAAATTAATAGCATATCGATATAAACTACTTTAGGTTGCAAATATTGTCTTATGATGCAAAAGCTTAGCCTATAAGTATATGTAAGTTATTGCAATCGTTTTTTAAAAATTTGTATACTTTAATTTTATCACAAAAATTGGAAAAATAGCGTCGAATTTGGGCTAAACTTTTTGACATTGATTGTTCAATGACAATTATGAAAATGACAGACAGCTGGTCACATCTGACAGCTGACCACAGATTGTGCAGCTGACTGACTTTTTGGACGTTCCGAAACTCCTGAAAATTAGTATTTTTCGTCTAGAAATCAAGACTAACGTCTATTAGGGCGTTGTGTTGTGAGCGACTTACTGCGACTTACTCATAAAATGCGAAATGAACCATACTCTCTAATCTGTGAAATGAACCTATGGAAATGAACGCTCGAACTATGGCCCGAAAGAATGAATCATGAATTTGTAATACTTACAATTAGTTAAAAATACAATTGCCTTTTGGGATTCTAAATTTTGTAAAGTCAAACAAAATCTATGAATCATGATGAATAACCAGATCTGTGAATAACGTCTTGAATCGTTTTTAGCCAAAAGGATCACACTGTGAACGAATGATGAATGACATGAACGAATGAATCGAAATGAGTGAATGATCTGCATGCGACATCAAAAAAAATTGTACAATGGCAGACGCAAAGCAAGGTATTTTTTAATTATTACTAATAATTCGATAAATCGTGTGTTGTTTATACATTTAAAGTGATATTTCTTTACTTTACGGGTTCTTGATTTTGTTCGTTGATACTTTTATTCATATAAGTTCCACACTATTGAGAAAGAAGGATACTCAGTGAGTCCTCATGCTGCATCATCAACGTTATTTTTTATTTCTATCACTTACTTAGCGAGTCTCGAGACTTACTTTATTTACCCTTTGTTTCCCTTTTTGAAATCTTTGTTGTCATAAAGATTTCATAATATTTGGTAGAGTTTTGCATTCTTAAAAAAACAATACCAATACCTATTCTTCAGGCTAGCTACTTATGTGTAAGCAACACAATACACACTTGTTTGACTGTATTCGATGTGTAAGTCTAATTTTGTATTCTGCAAATTCTGAATTGTTTATTGAGATAGAAAATGGTGAGGAAAGTTGTAGATTTCGGTAGGATTAGATGTAAAATATAGTTTTCTGCAATTTGAATCCTTCAATTCAATTATGATCATACCAATCTAACACTTAATGTACTCTTCTCTACATTATTATTATTATGCTGCTATACAATGACAAAACATGTTGGTAACTTTTTAGGCAAATCTCCAATGGAGGACTATTACAATGGATCCTCACAGTCCCGTGTGGTGCTGGCCAAGCCAAGGCTCGGTGGATTCGGATCGTCCAGTTTTGCTTCTAGTTCTAACAAAAGCTGCAACCCGTTTGGTAAGTGAAACTCTTGCCAGTCTAAGAGCTGTCTGATTTTATACTCAAATGTTTACATAAAAAAGTAAAAAGTATTTTATTTGCCAGCAAGTTTTTCATGCATTACATGCAGCATTTACATGTTTCATTCTGTGCCCTATCTATGTCCTTGGAATAACATTTGCAGCTGTGTATTAAACATCTGACTCAATGCATAATAATAAGCATAAAACTAGAATGTTCTGTCTGAATCTGATAAGAATAAATTTGTTATTTTGTTTTCAGGCTCAGTATTGCGCCCACCACAGTTGAAACCGACCAGTAATCCATTTTTAAAAGTGACTGAGAATTTTGAGGCAGCTGAGAAAGATAAGGAAAAAGAAAAAGATAAGGATTCTGAAGGCACTTCTGAGGATAGGCTGAAAGATACTAAAGAGGAAACAGAGGCTCCTAAGTTCATCCCACTAGGTTCTGCTAATGTTACACCGAGGACTAGTAATCCAGTAGTAGCTCCAGCGCAAGCAACTGCCAGTTCCGCTGGATTTGTGTTTGGTCAGAATTTAAGTGAACGAGTAGTGATAAATGAGAATTTAAACAATGGGGAAGCATCATCAGTGGACCACAGTACAACCAATGGCGCATCCGAATTATTGTTTACAAGCGCTGCAGCATCCGTCAAAGAAAATAATCAGGTAGGAATATTCTAATTAAAACTTATCTATCCTTTAGACTGTGAGTCAGACTACAATTAATTTATAATTACAGTATTAATTAGTGGTATAATTGCATTTTAGAGTTATAATTTCATAAATATAATTTATTACCATTTGTTGTTCCTAGTACATAAATGTTATTTTGATGACTGATAGCTTTAGTTGCATTATGAAAACCACTAGATATGGTCATGGTCACACATTTTAGCACAATCAAATGACATCATTATTAGTGTAAACTTTGAGACCAAATGTTTAGCAGGAAATGTGATATTATTATGTCTAAAAGTTTTTATTGTGACATGTGTTTTATTTATTTATTTAATGCACATAAATCCCAGTACATAAGGCAAATTTAATGCCATTCAGTAATATTTTACATATTTTATTAAATATTTCTAAGGCAAGTTATTGCAATTAAGTTGTGTACTACACCTAGGTAGGTGTACTAAGTCAGCGACGAGCGAGACGCGACGATCAATGCAATCCTTGTCACTGACTTAGGATATCGCGTTGGAAGCCTAGTAGCGCCAACTTATACGGGCGTTTAGGTAGTAGGGACCTCATTCAAAGCTGCAAGGCTATATACTGTGTTTAAGTAATGGTTGGAGGTCCCATGCTGCTCTTGCCGATATGTCTCCTCCATCGGCCGTCGAATCTGTGTGCTATGATGTGCCTTGCCTAGGTGGACAGATGGCCTCATAAATTTTGCAGGCTATGAATGTAGGCCATTGTCACCGGTCAATCTAGAAATAATTGGGGAAGGCTTATGCAGAAGTGTAGCAGATCAATCAATGGGCTTAAATACTCCATTTACCACATTGCTGTAAAAAACCTGAAGGGGCCTTGCTCTGCAAAACTATGTAGTGGTGGACGTCTTGTGGCTCAGCTGATGATAATAATTTGTTTATTTATTTATTTATTTTAAGGACAGCCAACAAAGCATACACCTTATCTAATATCATAAACTTAATACATCAAACATTATGTGGTGTTACATACTACTACTAATAGAAGACAAAAATATTTTTTTTCTCTTTTACATAAATCATGTTTAGAGTCTACAGTTCGTTTCGGGTTCCAATCTTGATGATGATTGTTGTGTCACGCAGGACGAGGCAAGCTCAGGCGAAGCGAGCAGCAGCGACGGCGGCAGCCTGGCGGCCGCGGCGGCGGAGTACGAGCGCTCGCACGCGCGTCCGCCGCCGCCCACCGCGCACTACAACGTCACCGGCGAGGAGGGCGAGACCAACGTGCTGCAGGTAACGCGGGCTTATGGCGTGGGAATAGGAGCGATATTGCAACGTCCGCGGTAGATGGAGCGCCAGACCAACGTGCTGCAGGTAACGCGGGCTTATGGCGTTGGAATAGGAGCGATATTGCAACGGCTGCGGTAGATGGAGGGCGAGACCAACGTGCTGCTGTAACGCGGGCTTATGGTGTTGGAATAGGAGCGATATTGCAACAGCTGCGGTAGATGGAGGGCGAGACCAACGTGCTGCAGGTAACGCGGGCTTATGGCGTTGGAATAGGAGCGATATTGCAACGGCTGCGGTAGATGGAGCGTGAGACCAACGTGCTGCAGTAACGCGGGCTTATGGCGTTGGAATAGGAGCGATATTGCAACGGCTGCGGTAGATGGACCGCGAGACCAACGTGCTGCGGGTAACGCGGGCTTATGGCGTTGGAATAGGAGCGATATTGCAAGGGCTGCGGTAGATGGAGCGCGAGACCAACGTGCTGCAGTAACGCGGGCTTATGGCGTTGGAATAGGAGCGATATTGCAAGGGCTGCGGTAGATGGAGCGCGAGACCAACGTGCTGCAGGTAACGCGGGCTTATGGCGTTGGAATAGGAGCGATATTGCAACGTCTGTGGTAGATGGAGGGCGAGACGCAATGTTGAACTTGATGTTAACTTCTTGTGTCGTTGTAATAAGTGCGATTTTGCAACATCACCGCGCATACACTACCTGTTTAGTACAGAGTAAGACGTTATTTTGCCTTGTTTGGAGTTCATGTGGCTTGATTTGACATCATCAAAGCCATTATGTGATATTTTTCCTGGTTTAATTAGGCTAGCGCTTATCGATTGTCTGGCGATGCCTTAGTTAACGGCATATTTCCTCAACAAAAGAAGAAATAAGCTTCAACTTTCAGTGTAATGCAGGGCCTAATGAATTCCAAATTGTAATACCCATAATATATTATCAAAAACACTATAGTCATCAATTTACTATTTATTTTTCAGATATCCTGCCGCCTTTTCGCGTGGGAGGCCGGTAGCTGGCGCGAGCGTGGCCGCGGCGTCCTAAGGCTCAACGACCCGCCATCGGGCACTACCGGCGGCGCCGCGCGACTAGTCGCACGCGTGTCGGGCTCGCTACGAGTCGTATTGAATACCAAGCTGTGGCCCGGGATGGTGGTGGAGCGGGCCGGGACCAAGTCGCTGAGGATCACCGCGGCTGACGCGCAGCAGCAAGTCAAACTGTTCCTGATCATGGTGAGTGTGGGACTAGTCGCGACTAGTCGCACGCATGTCGGGCTTGCTACGAGTCGTGCTCAATACCAAGCTATGGCCCGGGATGGTGGTGGAGCGCGCCGGGACCAAGTCGCTGAGGATCACCGCGGCCGACGCGCAGCAGCAAGTCAAACTGTTCCTGATCATGGTGAGTGGTGGAACTAGTTGCGACTAGTCGCACGAGTATCGGGGTCGGTACGAGTAGTGCTCAATACCAAGCTGTGGCCCGGGATGGTAGTGGAGCGCGCCGGGACCAAGTCGCTGAGGATCACCGCGGCTGACGCGCAGCAGCAAGTCAAACTGTTCCTGATCATGGTGAGTGGCGGCAGCAATAGTCGCGACTAGTCGAGAATGTGTGTGCAGCTCGTCCACACGACTATACCTTGATTTTTTAGAATCCAGCAGAGATGTAAACAAAAACTTTCATACACAATTACACCATAATCACTTACGTGTTCATAATATCATACACATTATTTAACAAGCCCATGAAACCAACTTTATTTTCACGTTTATGCAAGTTTGAAATCAATCTTTATAATTATTTTAGCAAAATACGTGGACGATGAAAATTTGTGAGACTTGTCAAATTGACTTGACGTTTAAAATCATGTGTTATCTCCATATTGTCTATGACTTGTCTTTGACACATCAGTGCTGTAACCTGTGAGTCATAGACAATAATCTGTAAATTTAATTGATATCATTTTAAGTATTCACTTATTCCGATTACTGAATAATTTGAAATAAAAAATATACGATACTTTGTTTAGTTTTCCAGCGATAACTTCGACAGATAACGTAAAATTATTTTTCAACTTTTAGTGTATACTTTTTCGGAGTCCGTTTAATTTTTAGTCGGTTTTATTTAAACGAAATTATTTTACTTTTTTTTGCAATTATGCTTACGTATTGTTCCATTGCTTATTTTCCTATATAAGTAAATAAAAGAAAAGAAAATAAAAATATTCTTTCAATTGATAGCATCTTAAATTACCTCCCTAGTGGAATAGAGCAACAAAGAACTGAGCGAGCGAGATGTCACTAGTAGCAACACTGTGAAACAGAACTTTTTGAAGTTTAATAACTTTACGGATATCATTGATTGTTTACTGTCCAGTGTGATTTTTGATTACATCTGTGCATACAGTTTGTTTCCTGTTCTCGAAAAATTAATAATCAGTTCACATTAAATGTTGCGACTTTGTTGCATATTTTTAGTATTTTGACGATCACCCGGCGCCGATGATACGCAAGTACTACAATAATTTCACTTCGCGATTAACGAGAGGTTTTGTCGCATCACTACTTCACAGACTAAAAATATTTTTATGTCAGTTGGCCATTTTTGATGACATTTTTGCTGATTTCTAAAAAATTAGACTATAGTTAGATTTACATACATGTGCAACTAGTCTGAATCCTGTGGCTTCAGATTACGATGAGCTGAGTGTCCTAAAATTAGTTGCGTTAATTACTTAACACTAGTTTTCAGCTTTTCACAGGCGGCAGATGGATCTGAAATACTCGCTTTGGAGTCATTAGCTCTTAGAATAGTAGATTAAATTGTAAAATAGGAGATCTGTAGTTAGAGTAGACTAGAAATTAAAGTGTTTTTTTTATTCCAGGGCGCACCAGGCGACATCAACCAGCTGTACAGAACTCTAACCGCACGTATATCCGTCAACAAGCGCGTGGGCAACTGCTCCCAGAACTCCACGTCGCAGAAGGCCGCCGAGCGACTCGAGGCCGCCGCCGACGAGGCCGAGTACTTAGACAAGGCCAACGACGACGTCTACGGCCGCGAGGAGACCCGGTACGACGACAAGGAGACGACCGACGCCCCCCAGGACACGCCCACAACCAGACTCGAAGCCCCGCCCCAACGAAAGACTGAGCCCGAAACCAGCGTCGACGACACCCCAGACAAGGAAACCAAGTCGCTCAAGCGGAAAGAACCGGCCGAGGACGAAACGTCGCCTAAGAGACAGTGCCCCGAAATATTAATAGAGTGATAACGAAGGACCCAGTGTAAAGATTGTGTTGTACGTAAACGTAGGTTCGTCCCACATCATGCGAGCTCTGGATTTCAAAATCTTATGTATCCGAGGAGATCTGTAGAGATATTTATGATTAAATTAATATAGCCTATTATGACATTGTTGATTATTAACGGAGCGTCCATTTCTTGACGATCACTACCGCACGGGCAGTTAAATTTATATTAGTACAAAAACGTTGTAAAATATTTTTGGCTTAAAGTAATTTCACATTCCAATTGTTGCAAGTGAATGCATTGAAAAGCATGATCGGCCGGAGCTGACTACCAAATAAAACAACTAATGTGGTTTATTTTCTAATAGTTGATAAATAAATAATTTTACATTACAGTCATGTATCATTGTAAATACCTGCATGATTCCCACTTTGACTGTTGTACAAATAGATACATTGTTTAACATTTTAGTATTTCATAACCCATTTTCGAAGAAGAATATATAATTTATTTGTAAACCGTGTCGTGGATATTATCCAATTACTTTGATACGGAACAGTCGTAGAAACCGTTTATTACAAACAAGTAAATTATTACCTTGTGTCGTTTCGTTTGTCTAATTGGTGCAGGTTAATTTCACAGATAAGTGTTAACGGAGACCAATCATGTGCATCTAATTGATGTGTTGATTGGTAGTTCTAATAAGTAACTTGAATATTATAAAAGGTGATGTATTTTACACAGGTTAAAACGAGTTATGATCGTAATAAATATTATCTGTTGTATTTGAAGTCCTTTAACTAAAAATCTAAAATGAAATTTGATGACACAGGGCTATGTCTACCTCTGTAACTAGCTATCTACAATACAGCTTTATTGCCTTACTAAACCCGATGAAGTCAATAAAACGAAATAAATCAATTAGAGAATAATAGGAAGGCTGAAACTATATCAACAAGTTTTTTATTATTACGGTTTGTTCATATCGTGCATCGTAAAAAATGACATCACACTGTATAATGGGAATGTGTTTATTGTTTGGACACATGTTACTGTAGCACTAAACAAGGAAAAGTGACTGCTTTTCAATATGTTTCAGGGTTTGAGTCAAGATGGAAGGTCCTTCGACTTACTCTACCTTTAGAGCTTTCGCCCCCCACTTCAATGCTCTCGCTAGAGTAGGGTACTTCAAACTGATAACCCCGATTTCTCCTACCCGGTTGATTTTACACAACTGTTATCGTGGGTTTATATGGTTGTTAGTTCTGTCGTACAACCTTCAGCAGTTGATAAGGATAGTTCAGGTATGACTTGTGAAAATCATCACCATCATCACGCCATTTAGTTTCCATTGCAGGAGCACTTTCTCTAACCTACTAGAGCATTGGTGCCCAAAGTGGGGGGCGCGCTCCCCAGGGGAGGCGCAAAGACCTTTAAAGGAGGGCGCAGGCCATCTATGTACTTGAATATAAAAAACCGAATTAGACCAAGGGGGACCAATGGAGAAGGGGGCGCGTCTCAAATAAGTTAGGGAACCCCTGTACTAGAGGCCAGAAGAGGGAGGATTTGGCCTACATTCCCCACGTTGGCCAGACGGGTTTAGGAAGCCTGAACTCGATGGTCGCATTTTTGTCCAATAATGGCCTTACGGCATCACGGGAAAAGTGGGAGAGGTCCTTTCTATACTGTCGGAGCCACACGGCTGACGACTTTTAAGATGAGTCTATTCGAACTTCCAAACAGCAGTATATTGGAAAGTTTTATAGTATTTTTTAAAGAGTCAATAATATTTTTATTGTACGTTTCTGGTTCTTGGCTTTTAGACACGGCACAGTACAGACGAGATGGTGGATACCCTGTTCATAATGCTGACTACCCTCAACACGCTGGGAAAGCAAGTGGCCTTAAATGCGCGCGTGCGCCGCGTGGATCGGATCCTCAACGTCATTAACGGTTAGAACTCTTTGTTCTAGGAGTTATATTCCCGTAACTAAGTAGTTACGGGAATAAAAAGACTTCTACTGCTTCTATTGACTTGTTTAGAGTCGTACATTTCAAAGGGTAATTCAATATCGATGTATCTACATCGGTATCTACCTACTCTTGTTGCGATCGTATGACCTTCATAAAGCAAATGTTATATTACTATTGGATTGCTTTGGCACGGTCGTAACTTTTTAGTGGAGGCCGCGAATCATGCTTGCTGATCTGAAGTTCGTGGCTAAGGTTATGCTAGCCGATGTAAGTAGATATTGAATTGAGAAGGTCGTTTTATATTTTAATTTGTTTCCTCTAGGCCCTATATTCGCTGCGAAAAATGTAGAGCACGTAGAACTGATGAAACTAAACGAAAAGACCATGGCACGCCTGTTATATTTTTTCCAAGGCATGGCGATGACGGGGTGCGTCATGCATGCCACGTACCCTTTGATCAATAAGGCCTTAGGTCAGGATGAGGTTGCTTCTTATTTTTCTTCTGAAACTAATGGATCCCTAACGTAAGTATTACACAACACACAAAGGAGTGAGTGGTAGTTGGTACATAGCTACTTGTAAAACTGATGGCAATTGGGGCAGGGCAGATAAGTTCTAGAGTAGTGACCACAAACCGGAAAGTGAAAGGTCGTGGAAAGGTGACTGGATGCGCTTGCGAATCCTTTGAGGCGGCCTTTGTCCAGCAATGGACATCTTTATTTGGCTAAAAAGAAGAGAAAAATATATTTGGTGTTATAATTTTAACTTTACAGCTATGAATTAGCGACATGGTACTTATCCCTGGTACTCACAATCCAAGCCTATGGTAACATTACCATGGATTGTACCATTTCGGGATTTTACGCAATGGCCAAAGCACAGCTTCAAGTTTTAAGATACAACCTAGAACATCTTGTGGATATTGATGAGGAGATGGAATCAAAAGATAGTAAGATGCAAGAAAGATTTGCATACCAGGATAGTCAGGCTATACAGTCACGTTTAGTGCATTGTGTGCGACATCATCTACAGATTAAATGGTAAATAAGATCAGTACTTACTTTAGGCATTATTAATTGCAAAATGTAGAGTCACATCTTATCAGTTGGTTCTCAGAATGAACTTATCTTTACAGGTTTGTGAAAGAAGTAGAGTCAATCTTCTGTGAGGCGATGACTGTACAATTTTTGATAATGGCATTTGTTATTTGCATGACTGTTTATAAAATTGTCGGGGTAAGTCCTTACTTATTATTCACGCGTTATTAAACAACTTAATGTTGGATACGAGCTATGCTACGAAAGTACCTACGCTAATATCAAAAAACAATAACTTATATTGTGTTTCTTAATACCTAATTTATGATATTTTTTGTAGCTTAGTGTATCATCAGCAGAATTTTGGATGGTGTTTGTGTATCTAAACTGCATGCTGTCGCAACTTTTCATTTATTGTTATTTTGGGACTCAAGTAAAAGTTGAGGTGAGTGTACATAATGCAGTGGTAGTTTTTTCATATTGCAAATGCAATAATAATATAAAAGAATAAACGACGATCGGTACATAAAACAGAATAGGGGAGACTGGGGCTGGTCCTAACAAATTTTGATTTGAGCGTAATATTTTCTAAACTGCTTTAGCAAGAAACATGGTTTTTTGGTACGTGATGTCAAATTTAATGAGCTTTACGTAAAGTACAACAAAATGTATATAATAATTACCATATCTGAGAAAAATCGAGTTTTGCCAAACAAGTCACTTGTTAGATCTTACCCCCGGTTTGGGGTTGGTTTTAACATCGCTGGGGAAAGTTTTAACAGCGGGGGTAAGAAATAATTTATAGTTGGGAATGGGATTTTGGCTAAGATAAACAACAAAATAATAATCAATGTTTATTAGAAACACTAATAAAATTAAATGCGGTTCCTTACCGTTCATAAAATAAACAGAAAACTTAAATTTTATTAGTTAAATAAACTGACTCACTCAATCAGCATTACTCAAACCAAAGAACAAAAAATAATTTTTGATCATCAAATTATCATTGAAATTCGGCTCCTTGCCGTTTAAACATGTGTAATAAACTTAAAACTTACTAAATCTATCTTTATCAAATAAAATAACAAAAAAAATACTCCTCTAATAAATCAACATACAACTTTGGTTATAAAAGTCAGTATTACTCAATGTTCGGGGCAAATATTAACGCGTTAGAACCTACCCCGTGCATTTTGTTAAAACCAACCCCACGACCTCATTTTGCACAAAATTATTGTTTTTCTTTTACCGGTTATATTTTCGATTAAAACTTTGAAATTAATGAAAAATACAATAACTTCGGATTTATGCAATACCAAAGCCAATTTTCTACGATACATATTTAAAGAGTAATGTAAAAAATTAAACACGTAAAAAAGTTCATTTTCCTGTGAAATTGGAGGCGTCTGACGCAACCTGCTCCCGTGACGCTTGGCCGGCAACTAACAGGTCTAGACACGTTCGCGCTTATTCGTAGGCACAAAGTGCGTTGGAATTAGCGTGGTAAGTCGAATAGGTTCTATGTAATTACGCTGTTAGTATTTACCCCTGTTAAAACCAGCCCCAGTCTCCCCTACTGTCGCACGCATCATATGTTAGTTGAAATAGTCACGATTTTGCATCGAAAATATGTTGGCTGACTGAAGAGCTTTCGACTCTACGTGGAAGCTTTTAGGAGATAAAATGATTTTTCTAATGAATTAACTACTTACTTGTTACAGAGTGAATTTATAGCACAATCAGCGTACTGTAGTTCCTGGTCCCGTCTGTCCCCTGCATTTCGGAGACAGCTGGTGATTCTGATGCAGTGTGCGCGTCCAATAGTCCCTTGTGCCGCGAAAATCGTCCCCGTCTCTCTGGAGACTTACATCGCGGTAAAAAAACTAATTATTATCTAAGTACGTAGGAATCATTGACTTTACTAACCAAACCAGTTTGGCCCTAAGGTTGACTGGAGGAAAATGCCGAAAGGCATTAGGTCCGCCTTATGTACACCGTTCTATGTGCATATAAGTTTTAAATAAAATAAATAAATAAATAAAACCAGGAAAAGAGGGTGTACGTATGGTGGTCATAAGGATTCATAGTATTTTTTATCGCAAATGCTATCTAACAAAATGTTTTCCGATTAAAACATGCCTGAAATTAAAGCTACGAATTTTAAATACAATCTTTCATCTTTTCAACAGGTGTTAAGAGCTTCGTACACACTGTTTACAATACTCGACAAGCAATAGAATTCCTGGAGCAATAAAACGTAGCTACAAATATGATGATAGATCTATATTTGACACAACTGCTTTCAATAAAGCTAGCTATATAAAAGATACACGGATGAAGAGTGGAGTCGAACAACACTGGGGTATTATAAATCGTTATTATTATGTTTTCACACGCAATAAAGAATGTTAACAAATTGATCCGCTTTCATTTCCCAATTATATTCTAAGGAGTGTAAAAGATGATTTAAAACGTTGGTGTTAGTCGTAACGTAACTTTTAATGAGTAAACAGCAATTTCCTTGAAGTCGAGAAACTTTTAACTGTGATTGTCCATCGTGCATCGCTGACTGATTAGTTTTTCTTTGTATGTACTAACAAAAAAGATAACACAAATGTGTGTTAGGTACATGATGAGAGATGGTGTTTTTATCTAGATATAATATAAAGCTGGTTTCAGGAGCCATATGGCTAGTTTCAGGAAATCTACCTATTTTACAAGATTTCATTTTCATCCCAATAGTGTCCGTTCATTCGGTATAAAAATGTAAGATAGAATAAAGTTAAATCTCTACTATGCCGTACTATTTGTGCAGTAACTATCAGCGGTCGTAAAATTGACCACGGAGCGGTCGATTGTCGCGAATCGTTGCGCGCGCGGCGGTGACGACACCGCGCGTTGTTGTGGCTGGATCCGAATTCCATTGTTTCATGTTTCAGTTATTCTTATTTCGAATCGTTGTCAAGTATTTTCGTGTGAAATCCCACGGGATAGGGACGCGGGCTAGTAGTGATTCGCTGTGTAATAAACTTTTTGACAATCCACGGTAAATTAAGCTTTGTTTTATTCATAACGAGACATTTTACTGTAATGCGTTTTTCAACTAACAAACAAAATGGTAAACAATACAAAACATTGTCGTCCGCTGTTGGAATTTGCAAAGGAGTAACATTGAGGTCGTCCAAATATATGTTTTATTTTCTATCATTTATCCGCTATAGCATTCTCGTGCTTGTAAAATAATTATTTTGAGCACCTTATTTTTGAGATCGTTTAAAGTGTTGTGCGATTCGGCGGGCGTCGGCCGTTGAGTCACGCGGACTCCGCCAGACGGTCCAGGAGGCTGAGCCCGCCTCTTCAGTGCTCCGTACGTCGTAAGTGCCGAAAGTCGTGTAAAAAGTTGTATCCGGCCGCGAATAGGTAGCGCCCGGAATTCCGTTTATAAATACGCGGTTCGTACGTGAGCGTGAAGCGGCGCAGCGGCCGAGGAGCGGCAGCGCCGGAGGGCCGGAGCGCGCCGCGATGCGCACGCGCCGCTCCCGCCGATGATATTCACCGGCGGGGGGCGCCGCCGCACCTCGCCCGCGCCCCGCGCCCGCCCGCGACCCCCCGCGCCGCCCGCGCCCGCGCCCAGACAACATGCCAACAACGTAAGTATACAAATCCCTTTACCACCTAAAAACTCAAATACTTTTCATTGTAATCCCGAATCCTTGGTTTTCATCCGAATTTGTATCAAAGGCACACTCGTTTCGTGTTTTTCTGTCAATTAGCAACGCGGATGATGTTTATTTATACGTTCATTCATGCTAATATGCAGCATGCTTCGGTTTATGACTCGTAGTAATCGTTTCGCGCATTAATTAGATACCATAATTTTAGTGAATTGTATCTGCAACCATTTTTTATAAACTTATACTAAATACAAGGTCTTTATTTGGAAAAACATGAAAGGAATTTTCACGTGGCGTGTAGTTGTGTGCATTTGGTCTAATTGCCTCGCGCGTTGGCAGAAGCGTGTTGATTGTAAACATAATTTCAGGAGTTTACGGTTATACCAAAACAAAGCTGTATTTTCCTATAACAATATGCATTAGCGTAGAACCGTGCATAGAAGGGGTAATTTAATTATCTGCTGGATATTTTAATAAAATCATGTAGTTGTTTATAAATAGGTCATAAGAGTTTCACGAAAATGCATCGGGAACGCTGCGCAGATCAACAACGCTACCTACAGACACCTGAATGAGCACGCCGCGCTGGAGTTACAGTTCCATCGTTTACCGCTTGCCTCGTCGTAGTACATCTATTTATACCCATGCATTTAGTCCGTGATCTGGTACCGCACTTAACCTTGGTGTTCAATCGGCTGCGATCAATAGGAGGTACCTACCTACACCTTACATAATAATATTTCACGCTCCAACTATTGCATTATGGAGTAGATGTAGAGACAAGTAGGGCAGAGTATAGGTATTAGATTAAAATAAAGAGTGTTACATACCTACTTATGTATGTATTACATATTTGTAACTAGGTACTTCTCTGAAAAAATACTTTTCTTAAAAATGGGAAATACAATCGCATCACATAGGTACGAGTATCGCAGTGTTAATTTTATAGACTTCCGGAATACTTAACTTTATCTGAAGCTGTAAGTATATGCTACGTGTACCTACAATTAAATAATATTTAATTACTATAAACATCGGAAATACAATTCGAAAAATGATTTTATTTATTGTTAGAAACTGCAATTTAAAGTTGTAAGTGTGCTTGTAATGAAATAATATAAAGTAATTGTAATTGTTCACTGAAGTTTATTAACCAGAAATTATTTAATACCGCGCGATCGAGGACGTCCTGAGTTATTCTATACGTGATCACAATGAAACTAAGTACATAGTTAACTATAAGTTGTATTGTAGTACTATAGCGTGCTGTATGTATTATGGGCTTGCCCTTACAGGCCGGCTCGCAGCCCTCGTGAGTCACGCCACGCTTCACGTGTCCAGTTTCACGCCATCCAACCTGAATAACATGACAAACGAATTCTCAATTTTGCCATTAGCCATACATACTATAACTCAAAGCCGTAATCGCCCGGATCTATGCCAGGGAATGCGTAAAAGAGACCTTGGTGCTCGAAGCAACGCTTTCTATGAATGCTGTTGCATCTAGTAGCGTCCCTTCTGCTGAAAGGGCGTTACATGAGTGCACGATTCGCCGTTATTGGCTATGACATACATACTTGTCTGTCTTCGCTGGTGGTGACGTGAGTTGGCGATGCGGCGCGCCACCTCATCCGCGGCATGGCATCCTGGTTCTGGGTATGTCAATGTCCAATTTCTCATTTCGTGGAAATCGACGACCGGCTCACTCAATTAAATTTATCTCTGCATGGTAAACGGATTTTATTTAAAACCAACACAAATTATTTTAGCAGGCATCAAGGTGCGCGCATCACTGCACTCCAACGATTGCCAAATTCAAATAATCATATGAAATCGTAGATAGATATTTACGCAATTCGAGCATTTAACGTATGGCTCGAAATTCGCATAAAAGTAAATCAACCGCATACTGGCAACAATTTGTTGGTATAAATTCATAAAATGAAAGCATAAATTCATTCAATTTCACTCCACGTATTTTTTTACATCGACGTTCCGTGTTTACTGAAGTAAATGCATCTTTGTAATATTATTTATTGTTGTCTAGTCTTTTTAGTGGCGCACGATTGTTGGCAATCAGTCAAGTCAGCTAATCTTAATTGTTTTAACACACTCAATCTCGCTCTTCTAATTAAACCATACATACTTTAAAGACCACAGGAAATAATTTTGGTAAGTATGAAAGATAAAAATAGTGGTTTCAATTAAACCACATGAGTAAATAGAACGGTCAAAACCATATAGCGTGAGTGATTTTATTACCATACCCCGTGTAATTTAACGATGAACGCACTGGAAATCACAAAGCAGGAAGCACTATAAAATAGTTAATATACTCCTATTGTATGCGCTGTTACTATAATCCGTGTCAAAGTTTATGAGCGAATACCGTGTATATGACAAGTCTCAAGCGTAAAGGCCAACGTATGAGTAATGTATCTACGAGTATGACGACTACGAAATTTTGAGAATTTCTGATCATGGGTCATTATACAGTACGAGTAATAATAGTATCTTATCAATTTAAAAATAATGCTGCGTGGTAATAATCCTGTCAGCCTTTTGGGCACACATACCTTGGGGGAGGCCTTTGTCCAGCAGTGGACGTCATTTGGCTGAAACGAACGAACGAACGAACCTAGTAGGAGGCCTGCCCACACTACGTCTTCCAGCCCGTGGTCACAACTCGAGAACTTTTCTGCTCCAACGGCCATCGTCTCTACGAGCTATGTGCCCCGCCAACTGCCACTTGATTTTAGCAATTCTAAGTCGCGGGAAGAGCCTGGATGCGGGCAGCGCAGGACCGTTCATTGTGGAAAACCTTGGGGAGGCGTTTGTCCAACAGTGGACGTCATTTGGCTGAAACGAACGAACGAACGAACTATGAAGATATTATAAATACTATTAACATTATTACCTGTCAATTTCCAGTGGTTCCCGGGCGCGGCGTGCGGCGAGGGCGAAGCGCCGCGGCTCTCGCGCGCCAAGCGCATCACCCAGCGGCGTGGGGCCATCAAGCACCACAAGTGAGTACCTACAATGAACAGTTAATACAATTAATAGACCTTATCCTTATGGTAATGAGCAATCGCCATAGGGTTTTTCGCTATTCGCTGGGTGCGAAGTACTAGGTGGGGGGGACATAATCTATCGCAGCGCTCATGGTGGTCAAAAGTAGAAATAATGTTAGCTCTGTCATCAGATGTATCTGTCAATGGCAAAGCGATTCTACATAATACATTTTAATATCATTAATTAATCGCATGAAAAGGGTCCTACTGGGAACTTAAATAAAAGAGTGGACTGTATTTCGATAGGGCTGTTTTAATAGCCGTTTACAATTTGGAAATAACTAAACTATACAACGTGGTAGTACAAAAATGAGTCACAGTAGTTGTTGTGCACAGATGTTTGCCTTATGATGAGAGCGTGAATTATTGAACTCTGCCCTTGTTTTGTTCTTAATTCTTCTACATCTCGGACTTGTCCAGCCAATACCAACAACTTTCCTTTAAATACGGTTTGTGGTTGGAATTTGATATTGTAACTCTCACAAACCCGGTCTTCAAAACGATACTCATTTCGATCTGAAAACGATATTTAATTTATTACTAGCGATACAGAAACATTTAAATATATTTACTGTTATATAATGAAACCGTTAAAGTAGCTTTTTCTTTTTGTTTTACTGTAAAACTACAACTATAAATGAAGTAAACAAACCCTGACACAATCAAAATTAAACACACTTTTTGGACTTACCTCATTTGATTTGAATGACCAAAATGATTTCAAAACCTTTTTTCCACCCAAATCGTGGTATCACAACAATTTATTAGTTTAAAATATTTGTTATTTTTTCATTTCGATATTTTTTCACAAATATACGACCTAAATGTCAATGTGACAGAGCCCACAAAGTTGTGGACGCTAGTTGGCGCTGTAATCGTGCACGGAGCCAATAGCATTTATTCTATATATATAAAAGAAAGTCGTGTTAGTTACTCCACTTATAACTCAAGAACGGCTGAACCGATTTAGCTGAAAATTCTCAGGGAGGTAGTTTAGAGCCAGGAGAAGGACATAGGATACTTTTTATCCCGTTCGAAATTAAAAAAAAGTCTGCTTATTTATTGCCATTAAGGCGGAACAAAGTTCGCCGGGTCAGCTAGTTATTTATATTAGAGAAACAAACAATTTTGATATACATATTTTTCGCACAAACATCACATCGCACCAATAAAGCATCGATGGAATAAAATATCGCTCAACTGAATTACCGACACAACGTGTTCGATATAATAAAAATCGAACTATCAACTTTCGAATACAAGTAGCGAACCCATCCATATTACTCCCTAATACTATTAACAGATGATTTTTGCAACAAAAATATTTAGTCTGATGAAATGAAATAAATAATGTGCTGCCGTCTTTACTTACGTCTTGAAGTCAAAAAAATACCTTAAAAAGTACCTTTCTTAAAATTTTCATAATTCGGAATTACGATTAGGGTGAAAACTGCTACGATTCGTAGCATCGGAAGTCGGATAACCGCTTTCGACAGGGCAGCTACGGCTCGTAGCAGCGTAGAGGTTTCGTAGCCTAAGGGCGCGGGCGCTACGAGGCTACGTAAGCACCCGTTGATGTCTTTCGACAAGAAGGCAGCTACGGCTCGTAGCGGCGTAGAGGACTCGTAGCCTAAGGGCGCTACGAGGCTACGTAAGCACCCGTTGATGTCTTTTCTAAGGTTCTTTTCTAGAGAAAGCAATTTGATTTTATGCTGCTTAAAAAAAAATCCGTGTACGGTGATTGATAACATTGTATAATAATTTAATTTATGTACCTACCTACTAACTTATATGAAACAAATAAACAAATCTTGATTTGTGTTATATGTAACTGTCGATCACTGTATAAAAGTAGTTTAATTTCTTCCCTCATCCATTTGTACACATGACCTTATAATAAGTAGCTATATGCATCTTATGTACGATTATATGGATCTACAGTGCAACTATACAGTGTGAGTCACGTTAAAGTGTACATATGAAAATAGATGAAACTAGACCTATTTTTATCGACAAAAAAGAGGTCAAAAATGTTTTGAGATTTTTTTTTAATTTTTTATATAATTTTTTTTCTTCCAATTACTTATTGTAAAGAAAACGTAATAACTTTTAAACTAAGCGGTATATCCTGATAAAATAAAAACAGTAATAATGCTAAATAACAGGCGATACTAAAAAAAATACATAAAATACACAAAAAAGGCCAAAAAATAATAAAAAAATATACTTTTTGAAAAAAATCTGCTATGAAATTTGTGTTTTTTTGGTTATTTGATAAATTTCTCCAAAAAATGTCCCTCTAACCGGTGGTTTTTATTACTTTTTATTATTCTCTATCGTATTACCTTTGTAAAACTAATAATCACATGTCTCTATCCCTATCACAACATTTGCTATGATCGTTTGAAAAATGCCTACCACAACATTATTCTCCGCTACAGGTAGAGACAATTTTAATTTTAACTAAAATGCTTATTTTACTTCGAAATCTTTTGTTTTTATTTGAAATCTAACTTGTCTTTATCAAAATTACAAATCTAGAGCCATTTTCAGTTTCGTTGTTAACGAAGCGTTGAATGGCGCGCCCCGAGAGGCTTAGTTCAAACGATCATTGCAAACGTTGTGATAGGGGTAGAGACATGCGATTTTTGGTTTTACAAAAGTAATACGATAGAAAATAATACAAAGTAATAAAAACCACCGGTTATAGGGGCATTTTTTGGAGAAATTTATCAAATAACCAAAAAAACACGAATTTAAAAGAAGATTTTTTTAAAAAAGTATCATTTTTTAATATTTGTTGGCCTTTTTTGTGTATTTTATGTATTTTTTTAGTATTGCCTGTTATGTAGCATTGTTACTGTTTTTATTTTATCAGAATATACCTCTTAGTTTAAAAGTTATTACGTTTTCTTTACAATAAGTAATTGGAAGAAAAAAAAATCTATAAAAAATTTAAAAAAAATCTCATAAATTTTTTGACCTATTTTTTGTCGATAAAAATAGGTCTAGTTTCATCTATTTTCATATGTGCACTTTAACGTGACTCACACTGTATGTATACATTTCTAACTAACTGATACAGGTAGGTACTTAGACGACTTTCTCTGTCGTAAACAGAATATACGGTCATTATTTTACGAAGTCGCTGTCTTGACTAAGCCAGACCGACATGCTTTATGTTCTATCCAATACACAGATTAGAATGATTTAACCACACAGACATTGCGTAGATAAGTAGGTACCTATTCGTACTTACTAAATGTTTTGGATTTATTAAAAATGGAAGTTTGCCATAGTGGTTGCTATAAAAAAAGCAGGGGGCGAACCAGACATTTCGTCATAAGAATGGCCAATAGCTGTGCGATTAAAAAAATCTCTTGTATTCTAAAATGTCCGCACGTGAGGTGTTGTAAGTCTTAATCGCTTTGAACTGCGGCCAACCGTCTGTCTTCGCGAGACTTTTCACCTTTGTTGAAAGTATAATAGGTCTATTTACCCAGGGGAACAATTCATATGGTGTGTGAAATTGAATGTTATGTCTGCCCAGTAATGTACAATACAGCTTGCCGCCCTCAGCAGTTAATTTTGTAATGTAAACGTTTGTAGACATAACACGCCCTTCAAAAGTACTTACATTCTCTTGTCTTGTCTTTGTAGTCAAACGCTTGACTGCTCAGTAGTTCGCGAAAATCTGGATTTTTTGGACATGTTTCCAACGTGGATCCGTGATCGATCCGATTATCTTTTCAGATACCATACGATTTTTCAATATGTATGTAGATTAGTAATTGGATACTTACTTTTCTGTAATATTTTGAAATCAATAACAAAGTTTTAATAGTAGAAGTGTAAGATAAATGCTTGTATTTAACGCCCTAAATGAAAATTATTTTATATGTAAACAGATAATATTTTATGCAAATGAGGTGTCAAAGAAGTGAAAAGCACAGCAGGATGGAGCTAACAGTAGTTTGTTGCCAAATAATTTATTTTCGTTTTCACCACAAATTCTCGCATAATATGTAGTACCTGCCCACATGAATGGTAAATTTAAATGTAACAAGTGTAATAAAGTGCCACGATTCGGTGCGGTCTTTCATCTGAACTTTCTTTGTAGTTTCTTGATTGTTCAAAACATTAAAATACATTTTTGTTCCAAAATCACACTTATAACGACTAAATAAGATTCTACCACGCTTTAGCTTGATGTGCAGTCGTCGGTACATGTTTGGTAGTACAGTCAGCGTCAAACAGCGTATAATCGTGACGACCA